CGGGCGAAAAATCAAGTTTCTCCAATCTTCTCAAAACTCTGGATTATGATAGAGGGCCGCGAGACTTTGACCTGAGCGCAAAAATGGAGGCTCTAGACCCTTCCAGAGCTGAGATATCGAAACTCAAAATTTCGACCCGAAAAAAAAACGACAGTGTTACCCCTTACGTTTTTTTGCGTTTTCGGGCGAAAAATCAAGTTTCTCCAATCTTCTCAAAACTCTGGATTATGATAGAGGGCCGCGAGACTTTGACCTGAGCGCAAAAATGGAGGCTCTAGACCCTTCCAGAGCTGAGATATCGAAACTCAAAATTTCGACCCGAAAAAAAAACGACAGTGTTACCCCTTACGTTTTTTTGCGTTTTCGGGCGAAAAATCAAGTTTCTCCAATCTTCTCAAAACTCTGGATTATGATAGAGGGCCGCGAGACTTTGACCTGAGCGCAAAAATGGAGGCTCTAGACCCTTCCAGAGCTGAGATATCGAAACTCAAAATTTCGACCCGAAAAAAAAACGACAGTGTTACCCCTTACGTTTTTTTGCGTTTTCGGGCGAAAAATCAAGTTTCTCCAATCTTCTCAAAACTCTGGATTATGATAGAGGGCCGCGAGACTTTGACCTGAGCGCAAAAATGGAGGCTCTAGACCCTTCCAGAGCTGAGATATCGAAACTCAAAATTTCGACCCGAAAAAAAAACGACAGTGTTACCCCTTACGTTTTTTTGCGTTTTCGGGCGAAAAATCAAGTTTCTCCAATCTTCTCAAAACTCTGGATTATGATAGAGGGCCGCGAGACTTTGACCTGAGCGCAAAAATGGAGGCTCTAGACCCTTCCAGAGCTGAGATATCGAAACTCAAAATTTCGACCCGAAAAAAAAACGACAGTGTTACCCCTTACGTTTTTTTGCGTTTTCGGGCGAAAAATCAAGTTTCTCCAATCTTCTCAAAACTCTGGATTATGATAGAGGGCCGCGAGACTTTGACCTGAGCGCAAAAATGGAGGCTCTAGACCCTTCCAGAGCTGAGATATCGAAACTCAAAATTTCGACCCGAAAAAAAAACGACAGTGTTACCCCTTACGTTTTTTTGCGTTTTCGGGCGAAAAATCAAGTTTCTCCAATCTTCTCAAAACTCTGGATTATGATAGAGGGCCGCGAGACTTTGACCTGAGCGCAAAAATGGAGGCTCTAGACCCTTCCAGAGCTGAGATATCGAAACTCAAAATTTCGACCCGAAAAAAAAACGACAGTGTTACCCCTTACGTTTTTTTGCGTTTTCGGGCGAAAAATCAAGTTTCTCCAATCTTCTCAAAACTCTGGATTATGATAGAGGGCCGCGAGACTTTGACCTGAGCGCAAAAATGGAGGCTCTAGACCCTTCCAGAGCTGAGATATCGAAACTCAAAATTTCGACCCGAAAAAAAAACGACAGTGTTACCCCTTACGTTTTTTTGCGTTTTCGGGCGAAAAATCAAGTTTCTCCAATCTTCTCAAAACTCTGGATTATGATAGAGGGCCGCGAGACTTTGACCTGAGCGCAAAAATGGAGGCTCTAGACCCTTCCAGAGCTGAGATATCGAAACTCAAAATTTCGACCCGAAAAAAAAACGACAGTGTTACCCCTTACGTTTTTTTGCGTTTTCGGGCGAAAAATCAAGTTTCTCCAATCTTCTCAAAACTCTGGATTATGATAGAGGGCCGCGAGACTTTGACCTGAGCGCAAAAATGGAGGCTCTAGACCCTTCCAGAGCTGAGATATCGAAACTCAAAATTTCGACCCGAAAAAAAAACGACAGTGTTACCCCTTACGTTTTTTTGCGTTTTCGGGCGAAAAATCAAGTTTCTCCAATCTTCTCAAAACTCTGGATTATGATAGAGGGCCGCGAGACTTTGACCTGAGCGCAAAAATGGAGGCTCTAGACCCTTCCAGAGCTGAGATATCGAAACTCAAAATTTCGACCCGAAAAAAAAACGACAGTGTTACCCCTTACGTTTTTTTGCGTTTTCGGGCGAAAAATCAAGTTTCTCCAATCTTCTCAAAACTCTGGATTATGATAGAGGGCCGCGAGACTTTGACCTGAGCGCAAAAATGGAGGCTCTAGACCCTTCCAGAGCTGAGATATCGAAACTCAAAATTTCGACCCGAAAAAAAAACGACAGTGTTACCCCTTACGTTTTTTTGCGTTTTCGGGCGAAAAATCAAGTTTCTCCAATCTTCTCAAAACTCTGGATTATGATAGAGGGCCGCGAGACTTTGACCTGAGCGCAAAAATGGAGGCTCTAGACCCTTCCAGAGCTGAGATATCGAAACTCAAAATTTCGACCCGAAAAAAAAACGACAGTGTTACCCCTTACGTTTTTTTGCGTTTTCGGGCGAAAAATCAAGTTTCTCCAATCTTCTCAAAACTCTGGATTATGATAGAGGGCCGCGAGACTTTGACCTGAGCGCAAAAATGGAGGCTCTAGACCCTTCCAGAGCTGAGATATCGAAACTCAAAATTTCGACCCGAAAAAAAAACGACAGTGTTACCCCTTACGTTTTTTTGCGTTTTCGGGCGAAAAATCAAGTTTCTCCAATCTTCTCAAAACTCTGGATTATGATAGAGGGCCGCGAGACTTTGACCTGAGCGCAAAAATGGAGGCTCTAGACCCTTCCAGAGCTGAGATATCGAAACTCAAAATTTCGACCCGAAAAAAAAACGACAGTGTTACCCCTTACGTTTTTTTGCGTTTTCGGGCGAAAAATCAAGTTTCTCCAATCTTCTCAAAACTCTGGATTATGATAGAGGGCCGCGAGACTTTGACCTGAGCGCAAAAATGGAGGCTCTAGACCCTTCCAGAGCTGAGATATCGAAACTCAAAATTTCGACCCGAAAAAAAAACGACAGTGTTACCCCTTACGTTTTTTTGCGTTTTCGGGCGAAAAATCAAGTTTCTCCAATCTTCTCAAAACTCTGGATTATGATAGAGGGCCGCGAGACTTTGACCTGAGCGCAAAAATGGAGGCTCTAGACCCTTCCAGAGCTGAGATATCGAAACTCAAAATTTCGACCCGAAAAAAAAACGACAGTGTTACCCCTTACGTTTTTTTGCGTTTTCGGGCGAAAAATCAAGTTTCTCCAATCTTCTCAAAACTCTGGATTATGATAGAGGGCCGCGAGACTTTGACCTGAGCGCAAAAATGGAGGCTCTAGACCCTTCCAGAGCTGAGATATCGAAACTCAAAATTTCGACCCGAAAAAAAAACGACAGTGTTACCCCTTACGTTTTTTTGCGTTTTCGGGCGAAAAATCAAGTTTCTCCAATCTTCTCAAAACTCTGGATTATGATAGAGGGCCGCGAGACTTTGACCTGAGCGCAAAAATGGAGGCTCTAGACCCTTCCAGAGCTGAGATATCGAAACTCAAAATTTCGACCCGAAAAAAAAACGACAGTGTTACCCCTTACGTTTTTTTGCGTTTTCGGGCGAAAAATCAAGTTTCTCCAATCTTCTCAAAACTCTGGATTATGATAGAGGGCCGCGAGACTTTGACCTGAGCGCAAAAATGGAGGCTCTAGACCCTTCCAGAGCTGAGATATCGAAACTCAAAATTTCGACCCGAAAAAAAAACGACAGTGTTACCCCTTACGTTTTTTTGCGTTTTCGGGCGAAAAATCAAGTTTCTCCAATCTTCTCAAAACTCTGGATTATGATAGAGGGCCGCGAGACTTTGACCTGAGCGCAAAAATGGAGGCTCTAGACCCTTCCAGAGCTGAGATATCGAAACTCAAAATTTCGACCCGAAAAAAAAACGACAGTGTTACCCCTTACGTTTTTTTGCGTTTTCGGGCGAAAAATCAAGTTTCTCCAATCTTCTCAAAACTCTGGATTATGATAGAGGGCCGCGAGACTTTGACCTGAGCGCAAAAATGGAGGCTCTAGACCCTTCCAGAGCTGAGATATCGAAACTCAAAATTTCGACCCGAAAAAAAAACGACAGTGTTACCCCTTACGTTTTTTTTTTTTTTCGGGCGAAAAATTAAGTTTCTCCAATCTTCTCAAAACTCTGGATTATGATAGAGGGCCGCGAGACTTTGACCTGAGTGCAAAAATGGAGGCTCTAGACCCTTCCAGAGCTGAGATATCGAAACTCAAAATTTCGACCCGAAAAAAAAACGACAGTGTTACCCCTTACGTTTTTTTTTTTGGGCGAAAAATTAAGTTTCCCCAATCTTCTTGAAACTCTGGATTCTGATAGAGGGCCGCGAGACTTTGGCCTGAGCGCAAAAATGGAGGCTCTAGACCCTTCCAGAGCTGAGATATCGAAACTCAAAATTTCGACCCGAAAAAAAACCGACAGTGTTACCCCTTACGTTTTTTTTTTTTTTGGGCGAAAAATTAAGTATCCCCAATCTTCTCAAAACTCTGGATTCTGATAGAGGGCACTGAGACTTACACCTGAGTGCAAAAATGGAGGCTCTAGACCCTTCCAGAGCTGAGATATCGAAACTCAAAATTTCGACCCGAAAAAAAACGACAGTGTTACCCCTTACGTTTTTTTTTTGGGGGGGGGGGCGAAAAATTTAGTATCCCCAATCTTCTTGAAACTCTGGATTCTGATAGAGGGCCATGAGACTTACACCTGAGTGCAAAAATGGAGGCTCTAGACCCTTCCAGAGCTGAGATATCGAAACTCAAAATTTCGACCCGAAAAAAAACAACAGTGTGACCCCTTTCGTTTTTTTTTCCAGGCGAGAAATTAAGTTTCTCCAATCTTCTCAAAACTCTGGATTCTGATAGAGGGCCATGGGACTTAGACCTGAGTGCAAAAATGGAGGATCTAAACCCTTCCTGAGCTGAGATATTGAGATCTCACGTAGCATTTATGCCATTGTAAAAATAGTGGCATCAAAAAAAAGGGGGCAGAGATGTGATGTCCATTGTAATGGACACAGGGTCTGAATGGGTTATTATTCTGAAAACAACTGTGAATCTGAGTGTGAACTGGAAAAACACACAAATGAAACCTGAATTTGAAGAATTTAATGAAACGTTGCGAAACAGTAAAACAGTCTGAACAAATAAATGCCAGAATGAATTTACAGTAGAAATCAATTCAATGTCCATAAATCTATATTCATAAATAAACATCATCATCATCAGCAGTACTAAAGGCCTGTGAGTGGAAATATGAAACAAACAGGAAATCATGCAAACATAAACACCAGCAAGCAAAAAACATGCTGAAAGAATCTCATAGCGTAAATATAACCGTGCATATCAGCAATCAGCACAGATAATAAATTAAACATTTTATCAGGCAGAAGCAAATATATTCATTCTTAAATATATTTTCACCAGTTTGTACAATATTTACAGAATAATGCATAAAAGTCTGAATCAAGACGGAGAACCAACCAGTTCTTCACTGACGCAGGTCTGCCGGAGTTAATGAGTTAAAACACCTCAAGGCACATTCAAAAATATCCAGAAAACAGAACCGTGACATTTTAATCCTGTCAGACGATGCCTAGTGGGTATGAGATCACGCATCCAATCAGAAGCGGGAGTTCTCCGAAATAAAATGGAGTTTGAAAAAAATGCGTCAAAATAAAAGTCCCACGAAAGTCAATAAAAGCTGTTACCTCAGATAATAATTCAGACGGATTCCTCAAACGGCGCGTACAGTGATACACGTTCTTATGGAAGATTGTTTTCACAAAGGACTAAAAAATAAAAAGGTACTTGACTGTTTGCATCTCGCAATTCAGACTTTATAACGAGCAATTTTCTTCCTCAGAATTGTGAGGTAAAATTCGCAATTATTATTATTTTTTTATAGATTCTTTTTACAAGCGTCCATGATTTCTAGAACATCCCATAATAGCTGTTGAAGGTTGCCAGATTACAACAGAGTGAGTGATTTTATCACTGGTTTCGTTATTTACAACAATTTTTGCTTGGTTTTACAAATTGAGTTTTTGAACTTTTTTTTCATGACAGCTGAAATTTCTATTATTTTCAGTAGTAATATTATATTTAATAAACATAAATGTGTTTAACACAAAACCGTTGGAGTAGAATCAGACACCTTCAGTGATCGTATTTCTCGCGTCGTGAACATTAGCGTGATCGACACTAGGCCACGTTACGTTTCCGCCCTGTGTTACCATGACAACTATGATTTAAGACTTTGGATATCGCCACGAACTCAGCGTCGTTACTTTTCTGTGGTTCTCTGTTCTGAGGCGCAACATCGAGTGTTTATAAAATACATCTCCAAGAGATCAATAAATAAGTTCATATCCAACACAATCAACTCTGTGTTTATGAGCATATATATGAGCGTATATACTGTTCACATTTATATAGAGATCCATTAATACATAAAAACATTCCAAAGATTCAGTAAAGCTGAACGTGAACTTTAGTGTTGCAGCAATGACTGGAAAGAAGCAACCGAAGAAAACCTGTCTGTCCTTTTACTATGGAAGCTTGTTTCCGCTTTGGAATACACTTTTTGCAACTTTATATAATCATAAACAACAATAATAATCCCCCTCAGAACTGTGATTCAGAATTCAAAATTTTATGTCACAATTTTATTTTTCGAGGTTATATCTTTCAATTCTGAGAAGTAAACTCGCAATTGCAAGAAAAAAGTCTTGTGAGATAAAAAAGTTGCGATTACAATTTATTCCGTGTGAAAACAAGCTTCCACTGCTAATAATGCAGCTCAAACTTTCCATCTTTCCTCTCTGAATCGATCAAATCCTGTAAAGAGTGTGTGAGGCGAGTGATGGCAGGAGTGTATCTGAGCAAACGACTGTAAACACGACTGAAAGAGAGTATGTGTGTGTGTGTGTGTGTGGTCAGGTGGTCAGTCCTCTGTGCTCCAGCTCTTTACTCTGTTTCAGCTCTTTAATCCTGCAAACACACAATTTCATTGAACAACTTCAATGTCATGATCTAAATAGCAGAGAAAATAAACAGAGAAATTTGGACGTGTTCTGAATTATTTACACTAAAAATGTTGTTCAGATCAGATGTTAAATTTAATTTATTCAAGGTCTGAATCCCTGAATATTTGCCCTGTGATGTTTCACCACAGACATTTTTTTTCTTTGTTTAGCAGTAAAAAAAGGATATAATTAATCCTTGTCAAATCGATTAAACGGGATTAATCAGATTCACATCTAACATAAAAAGTTTGTATGTATACATATATATACAGTATATAGGCCTAAATATACTGTATTTAATGTATACACACACACACTCATATATATTTACAAACTTTTAAGTTAGATGCAATTAATCACGATCAATCTTTTTGACTGGACTAAATGAAATATAAATAAAATAATTGAGAGATTGACCCAACTAGTAAAATATATATTCATTGTATAAATGGCCATGGAATTTTACAATTTTATTAATGTTCATTGTGGACTTTTCCAATGTTTCATGATTCACCAGATTAGAATTTAGGATAAGAATTAAAAAATATATATATATTTAATGCAGAATTTCATAAAATACATAAAATATTTTAGAGCTTTTCATAACTAGTAAAATGGATATACTTATTTAAAAAAATAACGTTTTATGATGTTTTCCAGATAGACTACTAAGTTAGAATTAAGGATTGTTTTTTAATGCACAATTTATATAATATGAATAAAACATTTTAGAGCTTGACCTAACAAGTAAAAATTTTGTTTATTATAAAAATACCCAGGTTGTTTCAGATTTTTATTAATTTTCAAGACTTTTCCAGTTGTTCATGATTTACTGGATAATAATTAAAGATTTTTAAACTATATTTAAATTACAATAATATCAATACAGTATTTTAGAGCTTTACCTATTGTAACTAGTAAAATATAGATTTATTAAATATGGGGATTTTATTCATTTCCATGAAGTTATTCATGATTATCTGGATAAGAATTAATGATTGAGGATATTTGTAAAGTGCAATTGTATAATATAAATAAAATTAATTAAAAACCGAGTTTGAGAGGGTGAATTTAAACAAAAGACATCTTTATTTCTATGCGTTTGAGCTTATTTTATCGCTTGTTTTGTCTTATTTTTAAATCACTTTGGCTTGAGGAATAACAGAAAGTGTACCTGTGTCTGCAGCGTCTGAGGAAACGCATGATCTTCCGCGCGGCCTGGTCCTGTTTCTTGGTCAGGAACGAGCCTCTGACACACAGAACGAGAGTGTGAGCGCCACAGAATCACTCATGAGTCATGTGATGTTCGTGTAGGGGTGTAACGACACACATATTCGCATTGAACCGTTCGGTACGAGGCTTTCGGTTCGGTACAAATCTCAAATATTGTCATATTTAAATGTTATTTTTAATGTGATGACCAAAACATTATTTGTTCATTCTTCAAATATTAACCCCATTTATAAAACTGAAAGTTTCACTTTTAAAACTTAAACTCACACTTATTTAAAAATAATCTTTTCTTTTTGTGAACCGTTAAGGTCATCCCACACTGAGTCCAAATTTTAACATGTTAAAAAATAAATACGACTTCACGTTATGTCAATCGTGTTTGCACACCGCCTCCAAAACTCCTTCGTAAAAAGGCATAGGAAAACGCGTGACCGTTACACCCCTCGTGTTGTGTAATGATGTGCGGTGTCTCACTTGATCTTGCTGTTGAGGGTCCCGGGCCCCCGCGGCCCCTGCTTGACGCGCTCGTACTCTTTATAACTGCGATAGTACTGCTGGATGAGGACGGCCGCCCGCCGAGACTGCTGGAACTTCTTCTGCTCGTAATAACTGCGAAACTTACTCTGAATCAGTATGGCCGCCTGCGTCATCTTCTTATATAAGGCGTACTGGAGGAAGACAAACACACGTTACACACACAAACTGCAAAAAAATGCTTTTCTTACTTAGTTTTGTCTTGTTTCCAGTCCAAATATCAAACATTTCTTAAATCAAGATGCATTTACTAGATGAGTGAATGACATAAGATAATATTATGTCCTGTTTTCTGGGAGTTGATGCTTAAAACAAGGAAAATTATCTGCCAATAATTCAACCCTAATTCAAACAGAAACAAGATTATTTTTCTCACCCCATTAGAAGAAAATTTAGCTTGTTTTAAGCAAAAACTCACTTATTTCCCAGAAAACAAGATTTAACATCTTTTCATTTTACTCATCGACTAATTTAAGAATTGTTTTAATATTTTGACTGGAAACAAGACAGAGATAACAGGAGATCACAGTAACAGAGTGTTTGGCTTCACAGCAGCTCTAGAATAAAGTTATTGTCCAGATAAAGTTAGTTTTGTACAATACACACAAACACACACATAAACACACTGGACGGCAGAAGAGTGTGAAAACACAACAGTGAGGCAGTTTAGTTCATGTTACCTTCAGTGCTATCCATGTTAGCTAGCGTGAAATATAAGGAGAAACAGGAGAGAAATCAGAGACACGACAGCAATATTAGTGTGTTAGCGAAGACACACACACACACAAGCACACGCTCAGACGATGAAGCCTCAGTCACAGTTTGTTTCTTCACATCATCAAGTGTTTCTGGATGAAGCGTGTCTGTAAAAACTACGGAAGCTTGTTTACACCATATAAGAAATATATAAAAATGTAATTGTGACTTTATATAACACAATTCAGAGTTTTTTCCCAGAATTGCAAGGTAAAAACTTACAATTTGAAAGGAAAAAGTCAGAATTGGGAGATAAAAGTCAGAAGTGCGAGATGTAAACTCAAGAATTATAAGAAAAAAGTCTGAATTTTAAGACAAAAAGTTTTATTTTTTATTCCGCGGCGGAAACGAGCTACCATAAAAAACGGTATTCAAGTTCTTATGGCAAGGCGAATAGGGTGAAACACATAACTCATATATCCGCATACTTGCACAGTTGATTGATTACATTAAGAATTGCAAACAACTTTTCTATTACAAGTTTTCAGAAATGTTACGTATAAATATGCAAATGATGCATTGTCTATTTAAATATGTGCTAATTTGCATCATCAAAGTACTTAAAGTTTTTACTGAGGGGATTTGGGAGATTATTTTTATTCAGAAAATACAGTCAACAGACTAAATAAATGATTTTCAGCATATATTTATAAATAAAGTGTTATATAAATCAGAGTGATATATGAACAAACCCATCAGTTAAAACCTTCAGAATATAGACAGGAATAAAACTATAAAGTTTGGTGTGTGTAAGTGCCGCTGAAGTGGAGGAACTTTTTTTACATATAAATATGGCCTTTAAAGATATGTACAGGTGAACTCAAAAACTCAAAAAATGAGAATATGGTGCAAAAGTGCATTTATTTCAGTAATTCAACTTAAAAGGTGAAACTAATATATTATATAGACTCATTACATGCAAATTGCGATATTTCAAGCCTTTGTTTGTTATGATTTTGATGATTATGGATTATAGATTCTAATTTTGACTTTGGGGTTTTCATAATAATCAAAATTATAACAAATTAACTCTTGAAATATCTCACTTTGCATGTAATGAGTCTATATAATATATTAGTCTACAGACGCAAATAGATAAAGTGTCATAAAATAAACACTTAAATGTTTTCTTTCCACTAATCTGAAAGGAGACGTAGAAGCATTTACCCATAATCTCAAACTTGAAAAGATTGGGGGAGAATAATGTTTTGGCATCGTGTGACATCAGGTTTTCTGTTCGGTTTACAGTATTTACAGTCAAACCAAAAGTTATTCAGACACCATATAATCAATTTTTGACACTATAGTTCATTTATTTAAGCAAGGATAGCAAGGTGTCTGAATACATTTTGGTTTGACTGTAAAACTGCCTATAAACATAATAGAAGTCTATGCAATGTCCCCATGTAGATAGCCGAGTAAACGTGTGTGTGTGTTCTACCTGTTTGTATTTGCGGTAACAGCGCTGTATCACAGCTGCGGCCATATCCTGCTGCTCCTTTAATCTGCGCCCCTAAAAACACCACAAACAACCGTTATTAAATCAGACACACACACTCAGTCAGTTGTTATGTGTGTGTGTGTTCTTGTCTTTAGCTTTAGAGAGGTTGGTCTAGTTTTTACGTGTTGTTTGTGTGTTGTACAGCACTTCGGTCTGCAAAGTTATAGATAAAGTAAGTAAGTAGTACCTTGTATCTGCGGAAGGCGTTCTGGATGACGCGCGCCGCCTCGTAAAGCTCTCTCTGCTCCGTGTCCGTCAGCGTCAGCAGGGCGAAGTCTCTCTCCATCCTCCCATTGGCTGAGGCGTTCAGAAACTCCGCCCACGCCACACTGCTCGGGGGGCGGAGCCTCTGCAGCGCCAGATCACTGAGGAGGGACGGGGGCGTGGGGCACAGGTTCCTACACACACATACACACGTCAAAAAAACATGTTTAGGTCACATTTGACCCTGAATATATATTGTATATATTCATTTTTATTAATTATATTATATAATTACAATTATTTCATTAATTATATTGATTCATTTAAACAGATTTTAATTTAAAAAGTCACTCATATTAATTATATTTATTAATTACATTGATTAATTAATACTGGTTTTAATTTAAAGTCAAGTGTGTCGTTAACATGGAAAAGACACCTTTTATCGCGCGTCGTGTGTGTGGTTAGGACACGGTGTTAAGAACCTTGCTGTATTTCTGTTTAATTAATTAAGAAAAGTACACCGGCATCTTACTCCGACAATAGTGACTTGTACGTCGTCGTAAACACGACTTCCCAAGAGGACTTGAACGCACAATACGTACCGGTCCACGGTGTCGAGGTATGTGGCGAGCCACGGCATGGGGTCGTGATTGACAGGATTGTCCCGCCTCTCTCTGAGTGGAGACTCCGCCTCCCGGTTAAACTCCTCCAGTTTGATTCGCTCAGGTGTGGCCTCGATGATCTGCTCAGCCAAAGTTGCCATGTCAACCTAACAGTGAAACATTGCAAAAAACACAAGTCTCACTCATTGTGAGGAGGTGGATATTTTAAAGCGATAGTTCACCCAAAACTGAACATTAGCCCATGATTTACTGACCCTCGAGTCATCCTTGACCCGACACACAACCTGATGGATGAAACTTTTATGATGAACAGATGCACTTTTATGATGGACAGATGCACTTTTATGATGTATAGATGCACTTTTATGATGAATAGATGCACTTTTATGATGGACTGATGCACTTTTATGATGTATAGATGCACTTTTATGATGAATAGATGCACTTTTATGATGGACAGATATACTTTTATGATGAATAGATGCACTTTTATGATGATAGATGCACTTTTATCAAGTCAAGTCAAGTCACATTTATTTATATAGCGCTTTTCACAATACAGATTGTATCAAAGCAGCTTCACAGTGATAACATGAAAGTAGTACAACACAGATCAATAATATTGCTAAACACTAAATAACCACTAAATAACCCCAACTGAGCAAGCCAAAAGCAAGCCAAAAGCAAGGCGACAGTGGCAAGGAACCAAAACTCCATCAGATTGGATGGAGAAAAAACCTTGGGAGAACCCAGGCTTTTATGATGGACAGATGCACTTTTATGATGGATAGATTCACTTTTATGATGAACAGATGCACTTTTATGATGATAGATGCACTTTTATGATGACAGATGCACTTTTATAATGAATAGATGCACTTTTATGATGATAGATGCACTTTTATGATGAACAGATGCACTTTTATGATGACAGATGCACTTTTATGATGACAGATGCACTTTTATAATGAATAGATGCACTTTTATGATGATAGATGCACTTTTATGATGAACAGATGCACTTTTATGATGACAGATGCACTTTTATAATGAATAGATGCACTTTTATGATGATAGATGCACTTTTATGATGGACAGATGCACTTTTATGATGAATAGATGCACTTTTATGATGAACAGATGCACTTTTATGATGATAGATGCACTTTTATGATGGACAGACGCACTTTTATGATGGACAGATACACTTTTATGATGGACAGATGCACTTTTATGATGGATAGATTCACTTTTATGATGGACAGATGCACTTTATGATGGATAGATGCACTTTTATGATGGATAGATGCACTTTTATGATGGACAGATGCACTTTTATGATGGACAGATGCACTTTTATGATGGATAGATTCACTTTTATGATGTATAGATGCACTTTTATGATGGACAGATGCACTTTTATGATGTATAGATGCACTTTTATGATGGACAGATGCACTTTTATGATGTATAGATGCACTTTTATGAAGGATAGATGCACTTTTATGATGAACAGATGCACTTTTATGATGATAGATGCACTTTTATGATGGATAGATGCACTTTTATGATGGACAGATGCACTTTTATGATGTATAGATGCACTTTTATGATGGATAGATGCACTTTTATGATGAACAGATGCACTTTTATGATGATAGATGCACTTTTATGATGGATAAATGCACTTTTATGATGGACAGATGCACTTTTATGATGTATAGATGCACTTTTATGATGGACAGATGCACTTTTATGATGAACAGATGCACTTTTATGATGATAGATGCACTTTTATGATGGATAGATGCACTTTTATGATGATAGATGCACTTTTATGATGGATAGATGCACTTTTATGATGGATAGATGCACTTTTATGATGTATAGATGCACTTTTATGATGGATAGATGCACTTTTATGATGGACAGATGCACTTTTATGATGACAGATGCACTTTTATAATGAATAGATGCACTTTTATGATGATAGATGCACTTTTATGATGAACAGATGCACTTTTATGATGACAGATGCACTTTTATGATGACAGATGCACTTTTATAATGAATAGATGCACTTTTATGATGATAGATGCACTTTTATGATGACAGATGCACTTTTATGATGACAGATGCACTTTTATGATGGACAGATGCACTTTTATGATGAATAGATGCACTTTTATGATGAACAGATGCACTTTTATGATGATAGATGCACTTTTATGATGATAGATGCACTTTTATGATGAACAGATGCACTTTTATGATGGATAGATGCACTTTTATGATGAACAGATGCACTTTTATGATGACAGATGCACTTTTTATAATGAATAGATGCACTTTTATGATGATAGATGCACTTTTATGATGGACAGATGCACTTTTATGATGAATAGATGCACTTTTATGATGAACAGATGCACTTTTATGATGATAGATGCACTTTTATGATGGATAGATGCACTTTTATAATGAATAGATGCACTTTTATGATGGACAGACGCACTTTTATGATGGACAGATACACTTTTATGATGGACAGATGCACTTTTATGATGGATAGATTCACTTTTATGATGGACAGATGCACTTTTATGATGGATAGATTCACTTTTATGATGGACAGATGCACTTTTATGATGGACAGATGCACTTTTGTGATGTATAGATGCACTTTTATGATGTATAGATGCACTTTTATGATGGATAGATGCACTTTTATGATGAACAGATGCACTTTTATGATGATAGATGCACTTTTATGATGGATAGATGCACTTTTATGATGATAGATGCACTTTTATGATGGATAGATGCACTTTTATGATGTATAGATGCACTTTTATGATGGATAGATGCACTTTTATGATGGACAGATGCACTTTTATGATGAACAGATGCACTTTTATAATAATAATAATAATAATAATAATAATACATTTTATTTCAGGGCGCCTTTCAAGACAACCAAGGACGCCTTACAGAGAAAAGTTAAAACAGAACATTAAAACTAGCCAAAAATAATATCAATATAAAATCAAGTAGGTACAGTCAAAAAATAAAATAAAGTCCCAATGAAAATCTAAGTAGAATAAGCTAGTCTGAACAGATGAGTTTTAAGTTGAGATTTGAATTGAGGAAGAGAGTCTATTTGACGGATGTGAGATGGGAGAGAATTCCACAGACGTGGTGCAGAACGGCTAAAGGCTCGAGCCCCCATGGTGCTCATTCTAAATGTTGGAACAGATAAAATACCAGCAGTGGAGGAGCGAAGTGTTCGAGGAGGATTGTATGGAAGAAGCAGATCAGAGAGGTATGAAGGGGCCAGATCATGGAGAGCTTTGAAGGTTAACAGAAGAACTTTGTAATTGATCCGGTAGGGTACAGGAAGCCAATGGAGCTGAATAAAAATCGGTGTGATGTGGTCAGTTGATCTTGTATTGGTGATAATACGAGCTGCAGAGTTCTGAATGGATTGCAAACGATGGAGAAGTTTATTTGTGGTGCCCATGAGGAGAGCGTTGCAATAGTCAATGCGGGATATGATCAGAGCCTGAACAAGGATGTGTGTATTGTGCTGGGAGAGGAAGGGTCGGAGTCTTGAGATGTTACGAAGGTGAAAGTAAGCAGTCCGAGTAATATTACTGATGTGAGGGCCAAAGGAAAGTGCGCTGTCTAGGATGACACCAAGACTTTTGACTTGGGAGCAGATCGGAAACAGAGAGCCATCAAGTGATATGTTTTATGATGGACAGATGCACTTTTATGATGGACAGATGCACTTTTATGATGGATAGATGCACTTTTATGATGTATAGATGCACTTTTATGATGATAGATGCACTTTTATGATGGATAGATGCACTTTTATGATGTATAGATGCACTTTTATGATGGACAGATGCACTTTTATGATGTATAGATGCACTTTTATGATGTATAGATAAACTTTTATGATGGACAGATGCACTTTTATGATGGATAGATGCACTTTTATCATGGATAGATGCACTTTTATGATGGATGGATGCAATTTTATGATGGATAGATTCACTTTTATGATGGACAGATGCACTTTTATGATGGATAGATGCACTTTTATGATGGATAAATGCACTTTTATGATGGACAGATGCACTTTTATGATGTATAGATGCACTTTTATGATAATAGATGCACTTTTATGATGGATAGATGCACTTTTATGATGTATAGATGCACTTTTATGATGGACAGATGCACTTTTATGATGTATAGATGCACTTTTATGATGGACAGATGCACTTTTATGATGGACAGATGCACTTTTATGATGATAGATGCACTTTTATGATGGACAGATGCACTTTTATGATGAACAGATGCACTTTTATGATGGACAGATGCACTTTTATGATGGACAGATACACTTTTATGATGGACAGATGCACTTTTATGATGGATAGATTCACTTTTATGATGGACAGATGCACTTTTATGATGAACAGATGCACTTTTATGATGGACAGATGCACTTTTATGATGGACAGATTCACTTCTATGATGGATAGATGCACTTTTATGATGGACAGATGCACTTTTATGATGGACAGATGCACTTTTATGATGGACAGATGCACTTTTATGATGTATAGATGCACTTTTATGATGGACAGATTCACTTCTATGATGGATAGATGCACTTTTATGATGGACAGATGCACTTTTATGATGGACAGATGCACTTTTATGATGGACAGATGCACTTTTATGATGTATAGATGCACTTTTATGATGAACAGATGCACTTTTATGATGGACAGATTCACTTCTATGATGGATAGATGCACTTTTATGATGGACAGATGCACTTTTATGATGGACAGATGCACTTTTATGATGTATAGATGCACTTTTATGATGGACAGATGCACTTTTATGATGAACAGATGCACTTTTATGATGGACAGATGCACTTTTATGATGGACAGATGCACTTTTATGATGGATAGATGCACTTTTATGATGGACAGATGCACTTTTATGATGGACAGATGCACTTTTATGATGTATAGATGCACTTTTATGATGGATAGATGCACTTTTATGATGGATAGATGCACTTTTATGATGGACAGATGCACTTTTATGATGGACAGATGCACTTTTATGATGGACAGATGCACTTTTATGATGGATAGATGCACTTTTATGATGGACAGATGCACTTTTATGATGGACAGATGCACTTTTATGATGGACAGATGCACTTTTATGATGAACAGATGCACTTTTATGATGGACAGATGCACTTTTATGATGGACAGATGCACTTTTATGATGGACAGATGCACTTTTATGATGGACAGATGCACTTTTATGATGTATAGATGCACTTTTATGATGGACAGATGCACTTTTATGATGGACAGATGCACTTTTATGATGGACAGATGCACTTTTATGATGGACAGATGCACTTTTATGATGGACAGATGCACTTTTATGATGGACAGATGCACTTTTATGATGTATAGATGCACTTTTATGATGGATAGATGCACTTTTATGATGGATAGATGCACTTTTATGATGGACAGATGCACTTTTATGATGAACAGATGCACTTTTATGATAGACAGATGCACTTTTATGATGGACAGATGCACTTTTATGATGGACAGATGCACTTTTATGATGGATAGATGCACTTTTATGATGGACAGATGCACTTTTATGATGGACAGATGCACTTTTATGATGAACAGATGCACTTTTATGATAGACAGATGCACTTTTATGATGGACAGATGCACTTTTATAGACTTCAAAACAGAAAAAGCCATTATAAAGCTTGGAAGTGGCAGGACATTTTTTAATATAACTCAGATTCTATTCGTCTGAAAGAAGAATATCATATACACCAACACTCTTAAAAAAAAAGGTTCTTCAGGGGTTCTTTGCGGTGGTCATGGTGCTATATAGCACCACTGCCACTTAACCCTCTGAGACCGACGACGCCACACGTCACCTCCGATAAATGTTTACATAACTCGATGACAGATTTTATCGATTTCCTTACCGTTTTTTCCAGCAGAAAGCTAGCCATCACGGTGGTGTCTTTGGTGTTTTTTCTATCCAGCCTGGAACTTGTGCATCCTTTCAGAGGTTTTCAGCAATAAATCCAATCGCGAATATCCAACTTTGATACTCTTGAAGTCCATAATTTATAAATATTACTTCATTTTTGCCGCTAGCTCGATGCTAGCTGCCATTTTGGATATCACGTGATGTTTTCACGTGATGGTTTTGGACCAATTACAGGCTGATCCGTTGTAAACATTGGTGTGCGTCATTACGCATGAACCAATAGAGAAACGCACGGAGACGCCCGTTTCACAGAGAAACACAGAGAAAATGGATGAAAATAAAGGGCTGGCCTTTTTTGATGCCATGCAGGATGATGGATTTTCAGGAGAACAGAGCTTTTTGACAGATGAGGAACTAGATTACCAGGATAGACCCAGCTGAAGTGCTATTTATTTATTTACTGTAAAAAAGTATTATAGTAGAATAAAAGTAGTATAAAAGGATAAAAAGAAGATAATAAATAAAATAGAAATGCAAAGCCTGTGATGTGGCCCTGAGAGTTAAAGAACCAGGTAAGCCCAGTTTGGTTCTTCAGTGGTTCTCTGGGGTGGATAACGTGCTATATGGCACCTCTTATGGTTCTACATAGCACCATATGACAAAGTTAAGTGGCACTTAAAGTGGTTCCCCTATGATTATAAGCCAATGAACCACTTTTAGTGCTATTTAGCACCATTTTTTTAGGATGTGTAGGATGACTTGAGGGAGAGTAAATCATGGGCTAATTTTAATTCTTGGGTAAACAGATCCTTTAATACTTTTGTCCAATGAAAATCTCTGACTCACCTGTAAGACCTCGTCGGACAGGTAATCCTCGTTCTCGGCATTCTCGCTGTAGTCGAGCAGCTCGTGGGCGAGCTCGGAGTGAAGCGTCAGGGACGCCGGAGCCGAGGGACTCGCGTCCTCACAGTCCATCATGAAGAGAGAGTCTGAGGAGCCGATGGGGGGCGGAGCCGAGAACGGGGAGGAGGGGGAGGAGGCGGAGTCTATGGGGTCAGGCAGCGAACCACTGGAGTAGGCGGAGCTAGGGGAGGGGGAGGGGGGGTCACTGGGGGAGGGGACACTGCTGGACGAGCTCAGACCTGAGAAAGAGAGAGAGAGAGAGATGTTTTAATACATTGTAAGGAATATCAATTTATACAGAAAACTTTTTGCAGAAAAAAAATATATATAAGCTTAAAGAATTTGCTTTGTAAATATAACAAATAATTTAAATTTAGTTTAAAACAAATATTTTACTACTTAAACATTTAAAACGGAATTCAGAAAAATAAAACAGAAAGCATGAAATTAGGAAAAACAAACAGATTTCACAGGGTCTTATTATTGTTATTGACATTTCATCAAAATATTCTATTTTTAGCATTTTATGAATATGATTAGAATAAAAATGTAAATGTAATTGCTTAACTTAATTAAAATGGAATTCAGAAAAAGATAACACTTTATTTTAGTGTTCGTTGCATGTTACATGCACTTACCATAGTAACCCTCAACCAAACCCTAACCATATAGTAAATACATGTAGTTAATTAATATTACTCAGTACTTAAATATACAATTACACTGTAACAATGGCACCTTCAAATAAAGTGCAACCAAAATGTTAATAATACAAAAATCTGATTTTATAGGGACTTATTTTTGTTGTTAACATTTGAATCAAATATAAAATTGTAAACATTTCATTTCAGTGATAACACATGTTGTATGAACATTTCCCCGCCCGTGTAAAGCCCGTGTGTGTGTGTGTGATGTTACCGGTGTCGGGGCTGCTGGACAGTGGAGACCGGGGCCGGTACGGAGGTGAGGCCGTGTCAGCTGTGTGTTCCTGCGTCTGAGAGTGTGTGTGTAACTCCTCCAGACAGCGCGCCAGACGTGTGTGTCCTCGAGAATGAGCCACAGCGAGAGGAAGACGACCCAGAGAGTCGGGGATTCCCAGAGCAGCGCTACTCCAGCGGTACAACATCACCGCGGCCGTCTGATGACCCAGAGCACACGCCCACATCTGCACACACATACACACACACACACACATCCATATAAAATTATTGTTTGAATGAAATGATACTCTAAATAAGAAACTAATCTTCCAGTAGGTGGCGGCGGTACACTGCCAGAAATGCTTTTCTTTTATTCTAAATGGTTTTAATTTACTGTATTTTATTTTTATCATCATTTTTATTTTTCATTTTTTTTATTCTAAACTGTTTTAATTATTCTGATTTCTTTTGATTATTTTAATTTCTTCTATGTAAAGCACTTTGAATTGCCATTGTGTATGAAATGTGCTATATAAATAAACTTGCCTTGCCTTGCCTACTCTGTGTTTTTGTCTTGTTTCCAGTCCAAATATCAAACATTTCTTAAATCAAGATGCATTTACTAGATGAGTAAAATGATATAAGATATTATGTCCTGTTTTCCAGACTGAATTAATCCAAATGAAGTGAGTTGATGCTTAAAAAAAGCAAAATCATCTGCCAATGGGGTGAGAAAAATAATCTTAATTCAAACAGAAACCACATTATTATTTTTCTCACCCAGTTGGTAGATAATTTTGCTTTTTTTAAGCATCAACTCACTTCATTTTGATTTGCCTGTATTTGGTATTGAAAATGGAAACCTCTTTAGATATGGAAATCGATTTTACAATTGATTCAATCAACACTCTCGTGACTCAAAAATCAAACAGGATTTTTCACAAAAGCGACAGCCCTAATGAATCCAGTGTGCATAGGTCTATCCGTGATGATTACTGAGATGCTCAGGTGATAATGACCTCACCCGACCTCTCCGTCCGACGGGCTGAAGTGTGCATGTGTGAGACGTACCAGAGGTGTGCAGGAGAAATGATCAACGTTTAGCGGATCCACTTCCTGTTCCAGATCCAGACTGTTCACACTGATACTCCTGAAAACTTCAAGATTGCAGATGAAATGTCCGAGTGTCACGCTTTCATGTCGGTTCTTCGTCATGTTTAATCACGATGAATATGTAAAGATGCAAATCTTTCTGCTTATGACTTTACAATAAACTACATTAGTTAGCCTGAACTAACAATCAACAATACTTCTACAGCATTTGTTAATGTTAGTCAATGTTCATTTCTCCACTTCCTATAGGGATGCACAATAAATAAACACCAAATCGGTATCGGCCGATATATGATCATTTTTAATGTTATCGATAAGAAAATTTGGCCCATAAATAATGCATTATTTCCTTCAGCTGAAACACTTCAGATACACACTGTTCAACATGATAGATTTGAGCTGATTGAAATATGATTGGAATCACTTAAAAAAAGTAAAATACAGTTTAACAAGTGCAGCGCAAATCTGTCATATCGGCTTCATAAAATGATAAGAAGAAGATTATAATTGTGTGTTTGGGACATGGCTTTTAATGACGAGACTTTTGTTTTTGTAATCAAGACTCTTAAAATTTAGGTTTATCGGCCAATGTATCGGTTACCGGTATTATCGGTTATCGGTATTACTGGTTATCGGTATTACTGGTTATCGGTATTATCGGTTATCAGTATTATCGGTTATCAGTATTATTGGTTATCGGTATTATTGGTTATCGGTATTATCGGTTATCGTATTACTGGTTATCGGTATTACTGGTTATCGGTATTATCGGGTATCAGTATTATCGGTTATCGGTATTACTGGTTATCGGAATTACTGGTTATCGGTATTATCGGGTATCAGTATTATCGGTTATCAGTATTATTGGTTATCGGTATTATCGGTTATCGGCATTATAGGTTACCGGTATTATCGGTTATCGTATTACTGGTTATCGGCATTACTGGTTATCGGTATTATCGGTTATCAGTATTATCGGTTATCAGTATTATTGGTTATCGGTATTATCGGTTATCGGTATTATCGGTTACCGGTATTATCGGTTATTGGTATTACTGGTTATCGTATTATCGGGTATCATTATTATCGGTTATCAGTATTATCGGTTACCGATATTATCGGTTACCGGTATTATCGGTTACCGGTATTATCGGTTACCGGTATTATCGGTTATCGGTATTACTGGTTATCGGTATTATCGGGTATCAGTATTATCGGTTATCAGTATTATCGGTTACCGGTATTATCGGTTACCGGTATTATCGGTTATCGGTATTGTCGGTTATTGTATTCTCGGTTATCGTATTCTCGGTTATCGGTATTATTGGTTATCGGTATTATTGGTAGGGGTGCACGATTCAGAAAATGTCACGATTCGATACCGATTTTTTGTCTCAAGATTCGATTCAAAATCGATTTTCGATTCAAAAAATGATTCGCAGGTCTATATAAATGTAGTTTACTTTTTCCTATGTGATTGATTGCAGTAGACATAATTTAAAAGAAAAGTTTGATATTACTTTATATGTCTTCATACAAAAATAAAAATTTTGCAACTAAAAAGTGCAAAGTGCCAAGCTTTGGCCAGCTTTTAAATACATATAATTCAAGTTTAAAATAAAACTTAAATAAAAAGCTTTTACATTTAGCTTTAAAGTGCTGTAGTCAGATCAAACAAACAATTCTGCTAAATGTGGTTTAAGGAGTAGGCCTACTTCAGCTACCAGGTTGACTGTTGAAATGTGAACTCGACTGGGCACATTGAACTTCCTAAAAATATATACTAATTTCATAGGACCCTTGCGAAAATATTTTTAAATAGATTTAAAAAAGCCACCGCTACTGGTAACATCTATGGTTAGATTGATTTGTTTAGATCCAGTGAAGTCGTTCATAGGCGCTGTAATTTGCGGGTATCTCCAGTTAACTAGCAGAGCATTCATTTAGTTCGCTATTAAATAAGAGACCTGTTGTTTTTGAAGTCAAGCTGAGCGCTCGTGTCCGCTGCGATCAGTGTCATGGATATACAGTGTTCTCTGTGGCTCGCGCAGTCTTCTCTCGGACGCGCGCTTCAATCTATCGCCGTTGTGGAGACTCCGGTGAAATCACAAAATAAAATGCACACAAACGTGATGAACATATTCGGTTTAGATGAGAGACAGAAAAAACTATACGAGTGCGGTTTAGAACCCGTAACCTCTGACACGCTTGGAAAAAGATCTACAGAACTCAAACATAAGATCTGCGGATCGATGCATTTATTTACGGGTTGAGCAGAGTGGCTGCACAGTTTGACCAGCGGGCGGCAAGAACTTGCAATAACTATTTATCAGACCGGCCCTCGCAGCCTCGAAACCATAGAAACACTACCGGACCACTGGTAAAAGTCCCGACTCACCCGATTGCCACTCCGCCCCTGCACGCCATTAAAAAATATAGCCTATATATATGAATCGATTTTTGGAATAATATGAATCGATTCTGAATCGGTAAAAATTGAATCACGGTTCAAATGTGAATCGATTTTTTTGCACAACCCTAATTATTGGTTATCAGTATTATCGGTTATCGGTATTATAGGTTACCGGTATTATCGGTTATCGGTATTATCGGTTATCGGTATTATCGGTTATCGGTATTATAGGTTACCGGTATTATCGGCTATCTGTAATATCGGCTATCTGTAATATTGGTTATCGTATCGACCAAAATGTTCATATCGGTGCATCCATATTTTACTAATACATTTTTATGTAAAGTTGTATTTGTTAACATTAGTTAATGCATTAGTACGGAGTCCCCTTAGTCCCACTTTATCAAAAAAATTAATTATAACTATCTGGTGGCCTTTTTTTTGATAAAGTGGGACTAGGGGGGCTCCGTTCATTAGCTATCTATGAGCAATATATTATATTAATTATATTTTTTACATTAATAAAGACTGCTTTAAAAAATACATTGCTCTAACTAGTGTTAACAAATAAGACCTGTAAGATGTTCCCATGATTATGTGTGTGTGTGCGTGTTACCTCCAGCGTATGAGTGTGTGTATGAGCTGTGTGTATCCCTGAGCGGCGGCGAGGTGCAGTAGAGTCAATCCTCGGTGTCTGACGGAGTGTGTGAGTGTTTCCGTCTCTCCGTCTCGTCCCCACCGACCGCTGGCCATCATCCGCTCACACACTGCTACGATCCTGCGCTCAAACCACACTCCCGACTGACACACACACACACACACACACACACACACACGCAACACTTTAGAGGAAAAATTTGTACTTCACGTCTGTTTGTGAGATTCATCGAACCACAGCTCAGAATTTTGATTCTGACTAGATTAAAGTTAGATTTGATTCACTCAGTTTGATTCACTGAATCAGAAAAGAAACAACCAGTGATTCTGAAGCTGGTTTCAAACTGAATCTCACACTTGCATTTAACACTGATACATAAATCAGGAAGAAAAAAAAATGAAAAAAATCACTTTAAATTGCAAAAAAAAAAAAAAAAAAAACCTTGATTTATTCATAATTACACTATATATAATTTAATATAAATAATTAAAATACGTAATAATATTTCCCGAAAATAAATAACAACATAAATAGATATAATAGGTAGATATTTGCACTGGTAACAAGACAAAAATACTAAGAAAAGCGTATTGTTGTTGTTTTTTTTTTTTGCAGTGTAAGATGAGGTAGTAACATGACTACTTTTAGTTAGTTACCCCTCGACACACACACACCCTCCCTCAGTTTTTTCCCTCCTGTCTGCATCGGTCTCTCTGTCTATCCTCGTGCTGTATTGACGTAAGAGTGGAAAAGCTAAAAATGAATGGCATGAATCAGCCAGAGGACTCTTACACACACACAGACGAGGTTTAACATCTAAACTATCAGCGTTAACCCGGAAGACTAAAACTACAGGACTTCTGTTAGACTATGAGGATCAGATGTGGAGAACCTGAACTGATGTGTGCATGTGTGTGTGTGTGTGTGTGTGAGAGAGAGAGAGAGAGAGAGAGTCTGTCCGCGTGTGCATGTGTGTGTGTGTGTGTGTGTGTGACGCACCAACATGGAAAAAGCGCTATTAATACTCGCATTCTGAAGTGACGTCATGTGCAAAGTTGTCATTCCCCCGCTAACCCTGATAACGCGCGTTCATAAATCCAGCGCTCATCAACACACACTGTTATTTTAGTATCACTGAGACAGTATTATAGCTCTTCATTCAGATTTGAATGCACTTTTACACACACACAAAAAACTTTTCTTCTCTGCAATTTCTCTAACTTGCTTCATAAACCAAAAATGCTTTTCATAATTGATGACTTTTGCAACATCAACACTGTTAAATGTAGATAAACCTGAAACACACTTAAAAACTAGATAAACCTGTGAAAGCAGCCTATCAGAGGTGAAGTGTGTGTGTGTGTGTGTGTACCTGGTTTTCGGGGGTCAAGCGTGGAGCGGAGCTCTGATTTCGTGAACGCTGCTGCTGATGATGATGATAATAATTCACGTGTTGATGCTGTTGATTATTATTGGACATTTCTGCCATCCGCCGCTCCATCTGCTCCAGACGCTCCAGAATCGACATCCTGAACTGGTTATCTAGAGAGAAGGTCAACATTAGACGTCACACAGGAACACACGGATCATGCGGACGCTGAGAAACACGGACGAGGACAAACCCGGAGTAATCAAGTCTTCTGTAGAGCGCCACAGAGGAAATTCAATTACTCAAGTCAGAATGAATGAATTTAGCAACTTATTAAGCTGAATAGAGTCAACTATGAACTGAATTGAATTCGTTTCATAACTGATGAATTTTTTTCAACATTGACACTGTTATTAAAGTGAATTAAATCAACATTGAACTCAATTTAACCAAAAAGAATTAGTTTCATAATTCATAATTGATGAATTTCGCAACATCGACACTGTTATTAAAGTGAATTAAATCAACATTGAACTCATTTTAACCAAAAAGAATTAGTTTCATAATTCATAATTGATTAATTTTTTTCAACACTGACACTGTTATTAAAGTGAATTAAATCAACATTGAACTCATTTTAACCAAAAAGAATTAGTTTCATAATTCATAATTGATGAATTCTGCAATATCGACACTGTTATTAAAGTGAATTAAATCAACATTGAACTCAATTTAACCAAAAATAATTAGTTTCATAATTCATAATCGATAAATTTTGCAACATCGACACTGTTATTAAAGTGAATTAAAGCAACATTGAACTCAATTTAACCAAAAAGAATTACTTTCATAATTCATAATCGATGAATTTTGCAACAGACACTGTTATTAAAGTGAATTAAATCAACAGTGAACTGAACTGAATGGTTGCAACATTGACACTGTTATTAAACTGAATTACAACAAATCAAACTAAATTGAATTGGTTTCATTAATTTTGCAATATTGACAGTTTTATTAAACTGAATTAAACTGAACTGAACTCAATTTTACCGAAAATGATTAGTTTCATAATTCATGAATTTTGCAACATTGCCATTGTTATTGAACTGAAATTTAAATGAATTTACTTTGTTTTTCATTATTAATGAACTTTGCAACATTCACACTGTTATTAAAGTGAATTACAACAAATCAAACTGAACTGAATTAGTTTCATAACTGATGAATTTAACAACATTGACACTGTTTTTAAAGTGAATTAAATCAACATTGAACTGAATTGAATTAGTTTCAAAATTGATGATGTTTACAACATCAACACTGTTATTGAAATGAATTGAACCAAATTGAACCAAATGAAATTTGTTTCATAATAGAGTAACTTTATAAGATCGGCACCGTTGTTGAACTGAATCGAATTTAACTCAATTTAATTAATCTCTCATAATTGATCAATTCTGCAACATTGACAGTGTTATTAAACTGAATTAAATCAACACTAAACTCAATTTAACTAAACAGAATTAGTTTCATAATTAACTTTGCAACATTGACACTGTTATTAAACTGAATTACGACAAATCAAACTGAATTGAATTAGTTTCATAACTGATGAATTTAACAACATTGACACTGTTTTTAAAGTGAATTAAATCAACATTGAACTGAATTGAATTAGTTTCACAATTGATGATGTTTGCAACATCAACTTTGTTATTAAAATTAATTGAATCAAATTTAACCAAATGAAATTTGTTTCATAATAGATTAACTTTGTAAGATCGGCACCGTTATTGAACTGAATCGAATTTAATGTTTCATAATTGATGAATTCTAAATCAACAAATTCTTAAAATCAACACTGAACTCAATTTAACTGAACAGAATTAGTTTCATAATTAACTTTGCAACATTGACATTGTTATTGAACTGAATTCAATCAAATTATCAGCAAAAATAATAACTTTATTACACTGAGCTGCAAGAAAGACATTTGTAAAATGATTTTTTTTTATGTGCTTTAGACGATAAGCAGAACGACATGCCGGAAACTCGGCGGAAGAGCACAGCGGCGCGGACATTATTCATGGTTCTCGATTCTCAACTAATTCTAATATTTACTTCCACAGACACAAAGCAGACGTGAGCGTGCGTGTTTAGTGCTTGATTTACAGTGTGTGTGAATGTGTTGACAGCTCAGCTTTTACACACACACACTCATTCCTACCTACACCATCCCTGCTTCTCTGCGCCATCGTTCAGACGATCAATTAAAAACGGCGAATCCGAAAAAGCGCAACTCCATGTCTCGCTCTCATCACTCTCTCTCAATCAGGGGTCAAACATGTTAGAAAGATGATCTGAAGCAGAAAACATGTTTAAGACACACGATCAGCGAAGAACCACTCGCTCAGATCCCATGAGAGAGAGAGAGAGAGAGAGATGCCGGGTAAGTCGAGAAAAAGAAAGTATTCCAAGTGGAGGGACAACTGGAAAACACACGGACATTCGTCCTCGAGCAGGGAAAGTCCCAAATGAGACGAGAGAGAGACAGAGCTGAGTTTAAATTACTGAGAGAGAGAGAGAAAGAGAGAGAGACACGCAGCTCCCTCCGTACACATGGATTTAAATAGGCTTTAACTGAGGGGCAGAAATAGAAATAGAAACCGGCTGATATCCACACTGACACACACAACAAACTAGTTTAACCCTTCCAAACATTTAAAAAATAAAATAAAATTGATATATATATATATATATATATGAAGAGTTTAGATGCAAAAGCCTCTAAATGCCATTTGAAATTTTCTTCTTTAATGATGATTTTTGTCAAACTTGTGTATTTAAGTTCAGTAATTTCACTTAAATAACAATTAATAGGTAATTATCATTGCCATTAAAGTGAAATTACTGAACTTAAATATACAAGCTTGATAAAAATGATCATTCTAGAAGAAAATTTCAAATGGCACTTAGAGGCTTTTGCATCTGAACTCTTCATATATATATATATATATATATATATATATACATTTTTTTTAATTCAGTGTTCATCAGAGGGGACCAAGAATAAACAATAAATAAATATAAAGAAATAAACAATTGTAAAATGTATTGGAGGAGTTTTGTGGTTGATACTGTTCGTTTTCTCACACAAACCGCTCATTTCATGTCTTAGGCCATCAATGTGTACTTACATTTACGAGTCATTAAAGGGGACATATCATAGAAAATCCACTTTTTTAGCCCTTAAATGCATTTTGTTGTATATTTGGAGAGTTTATAAGTAAATGAAGAGTCGAGCAGAGACAAACGAAGAGTAAAGAAGAGACGAGCGCAGCCTTCCTGTCATGATGCTCTCTTAGAAGAAAAGGTTCCATATAGAACCTTAAAAGGTTCTAAAGCGCTACGTATTTGGAACCCCTAAAATGCAATGAGTGTGAATGATCACAAAATTCAAGATATGGTGGTTAAAAAATGTAATTAATGAATATCACACGAAGAGTGACATTTCAGTTTTTATCCTCCAAAAATCTGCATGATTAAAATGTCACATTAAGTACTGCAACAGTTTAATAAACAATAATTTAATTACAACTACATTATGTAATATATGAATGAATAATAGCCTTTAAAGAACCTTTGTGCCAAAAGTGTTCTTTCTTGTCGTTATTGAACCTCTTTTAGCATGAAATGTCCTTTGGAGTTGAGTAAAGAACCCTATGCTACATACATGTGACTTGATAATATAATATACTTGATAATGATAATATTATATGAACTCATGTCCCTCGCTGAGAGTTCACTGGTTTTGTAATACAAGACAATAATATCAGTAGTTTTGTTTTATTTGATTACGTTCATATTTCTTATGCCATCTCTCACTTCTGATCACATTTGATCTCTTATGACGTCATCTCTCGCCTCCGAACCACAGAAATACACACATCACATCCCATTTCATCTGTGCTGCTTTTCCCAAATAGAGGGTGTGTGTGTGTGATGGGTAGGTTTAGGGGTCGGGTTAGCGTGTGTGTGTGTGTGTGTACTCACCATCCAGTGATAACCAGTCCAGCTGTGAGCTCGGTAAGGACGAGGCGTTGCGAGCGCGATACTCGAACAGCACAGATGAGGAGACGGGGCTGGAGTCCATCAACACGTGCAGAGCCACGAGACCTGCTTCATGAGCTACACACACACACACACACACACACAGAGGAAACTGTATATTACTGTATATATAGCGCTTATTTTCAGCATTTCACCTGTAAACTGAAAGTGTAAAAAAGTCGTAGAAGTTTAAGTTTACTATAAAGCAAATTTAAAAAATATATATATTTTACTAAATAATTTGGCATTTAAAGTGCTATAAAATCAAAGCCATGTGTTTGTTTTCAAAAAAAAAAAAAAATCATATTGTATTTAAGGATTTCCAAGACTTAAATTTCAAAAAGTCAGCTTCCAGTACTTTAAGATCTTGTGCTTGCTTTTGCATTAGCAATAAATATTACACACTGAGATTTTTATCTTTTTATCATGATGTGGAAAGTCACAACACAAATATAACAACATCAACTGTATATAATGTTTGTAAACTAGTGCTGGGAAAAGATTCGTAACGATAAATCACATTCAAAATAAAAGTTTGTGTTTACGTTATAAATGTGTGTATGCTGTGTATAATTATTTTGTATATATATATATATATATATATATATATATATATAGATGTATATATTTAAGAATATTTGCATGTACTGTATATATGTTTATACATAATTTATATAATATATAAATATTTAATACATTTTTTATAAACATATACACGCATGTTTGTGTGTCTATATATATATATACACAAAATAGAAAAACACAGTACACACATTAAATCATTTCTTCATCAATCAACCAATCAAACAATTCTTAATTTAAGATGCATTTACTAGATGAGTAAATTATATAAGATATTATGTCCTGTTTTCTGGAGAATTCATCAAAATGAAGTGAGTTGATGCTTAAAAAAAGCAAAATCATCTGCCAATGGAATGAGAAAAATAATCTTGAGAAAATTATTATTTATTCATAGATATAGATGTAGATTGGATATAGAAGACGATGTAGATGTAGATTAGATATATATTAGATGTAGATTAGATATAGATTGGATATAGATGTAGATATAGATGTTACTGCAGTGTTTCTCAGGTTTCTCAGCGCCCCCGTCTGGCTCACCTGGACAATAGCAGCGCAGGACCCCCGACTGAATCAGAGAAGCAGGAACACGAGTCTGATCGAACACACACGAGTATCTGCTGTCCGTCTCCGACCACGGGCCGGTGATCAGCACCTTCACCCCTCCCTGAAACACACAGGTGTATCACACACACACACATAAAATCATAATCACTGACACTCAAATAACAGGAAACACAGAAACCGCTTAACTGGAGATACTAAAGTTTAACTGGAGCGACTAAAGCGACTAAAACTAAACATTCTTAGATCAAGATACAAATTACTTAAGATGTGAAGTCTTGTTTTCTGAAAAATTTCTTTAAGATTTAAAACTATAAAAATATCTGCTTTATTCAGGAAAACAAATATTTGATATTTGTTCTTATTTTAAGCATAAACTCTCTTCACTTTGATACATTTTTCACTTATCTTATGTCATTTTGATTCTCAAGTAACAAATAATCTGAAAGAATAATTAAAAATAACAAAAAAAGTAGTTTTTTTTGGTTTTTTTGCATGGTTTAAAAATGACTAAAACACACAGCGAAATGACTAAAACTAAAAGTAAAAGTAAGCCTAAACCCAAAACGTAATCATATTTTATTTTTAGATTGTCTGGGTAATATTTCTTATTTTAATTCAGTTTAACTTGGTGTATTAAAATAAACGCAAACTAAAGCTGATTGTTTTAATAGATACAAACAAACAATAACAAAAATACTAGAACTTTAACTAAAATGAAAAATAAAATGAAAAAAATATATAAATAAGTGCTGATTAATCACATCCAAAATAACACAAATGCATGCATAATATATATATATATATATATACACAGAATATACATGCAAATATTTCTTAAATATATACACGCATGTGTGTATTTATATATACAAAATAATTATACACAGTACACACACATTTATTTTGGATGCGATTAATCGCTGCCCAGCACAAATAAATATATATTTCTAAAATAACAATGGCGTTTCATAAACAAAACATGAGCAGAAACACATTTTATAATCAAGAACAGAACTTTCATCCTTCTACAAATAGCACATGAGGCAAAAAGTGCTTATCCTTCAGAAAATAATGATCGGTTATAGTAAAGGGAATTCGCAACCAATTTCCAGTGATTAAGAAGCGACGTGAAAGACTCATACCTCCGGGTAGGACCACTCCGGTGAGAAGTCGGTGATGTTGGCCAAGCGCTGGGACTCCTCCGACGCGCCGCCCGACGCCAGCGAGTGTGTGCGCGTGAGGAGTGGGAAGGGCAGGAACGAGGTGGACGGCGTCGGCTGGGGCGGGACCATGTACCTGATGGGGTAAATGGGCGGAGTCGGGGCGGGGGCGTGGCTTACGGTCTCCTCTGTGATCAGCTCAGATATTAAGTCAGGGAAGGTGGAGTCAAACGTAAGCCCCGCCTCCTCCTCGTCTATATGGGCGCAGTGGGTGGTGTCCATGGGCGTCACTTCTGAATCATAATGAGTGGGCGGAGACTGCTCCTCTTTAACTTGTATGGGCGTCATGTTTGTGGGTGTGGCTGGGGGCGGAGTCAGATTCTGTGGTTGAATGCACATGGAGTGTGTTGTTAAAAGACAGGATTGCACTTGAAGCTCTGACTGCATAAGCTCCGCCTTTTCTGCTTCTTGAGGAAGCTGATTGGTCGGCAGCACTTCGAGGGAGGTTGTTGTGTTGGCGGCTGCCAGTTGGTTGTTGACGTGTTGGGATGGAGAGAGCTGATTGGTTGGTAGATGAGTGGGCGTGGCTTGAGCATTGAATCTGGTGGGAGGAGCTCTGCCGTTTGTGGGCGGGATTGAAAGTGAGGGGCTCAGCGAATCAAGCCCTAATGATGACTCGAGATACATCGGGAGCAGCGCAGGAGTCGTTCGCGTCGGAGAGAGCGAAAACGAAAAAGAGGCGGGACTGGAGGCGGGACGACCTGGAATACTCTTCCTCTCCGTCTCAGAAGAGAGGGAAGAGAGAGAGGATGGGGGAGAAGTGGGAGAGAGAGAGAGAGCGAGAGAAGGAGGCTGAGGAGATGTGGAAGGAGGTGGAGACGGGGAGGAAGAGGCGGAGTTGGAGGCGGGGCCTCCATACGTCTGGCCCTGTTTGGGGCTGTTGAGGAACGAATCGGGGTCGAACGGAAGAAGCGAGGGCGAAGGGGACGACGGGTGGAGGAGCGTCCCGGGTGCTTCTGGGATAATGCGATCGGTCAGCAGCAGTCCTCCAATCACAGGGCTGGGAAGTAGAGTGAGTGACAGCGTGGCCACGCCCTGATTCGGGCTCGGTGGGGAGGCGGAGCTTGGCGGAGGGGGCGTGTCATGTTTAGGCGGGACAGGAGATAAAACTAAGCGTCCGCCGGCACGAGTGAGCGAAAGTCGGGTCTCGCCGTTTGGCTCCTCCCCACATCCACGGCCTACCGGCGCCGCCGTCGTCATCACGATTACCGCGTTCTGCGGCAGCGCCACCGTTGCTAATCCGCCACGCGGGAAACCATTTCCGTTGCTCAACGCGATTGTCGCCGCCCGCTGCGTTTGTGGCGGACTCGATGATGACGAGGAAGAGGCGGAGCATGGGGAAGCCACGCCCACCATGTCCTCGATCCGATCTTCTGGCGGCTGCTTTCTCTCTGAAGGCACGACAGCAACTGACGCATCGCCTGGCCCCGCCTCTCGCCCGACCTCTGCTCCTGAGCCCTCATTGGCCAGATTCTGCAGCTCCGTGAGGGCGGGGTAAGGGGCGGGCAGTTTGGGGGAAATGATGCGATGTTTTGTGCTGTTGCAGCGATGAGGAATGTTGGATCCGGGAGATGCTGTGGAAAACGAAAGTGGAAGATCAATAAAGCTATTGTTCGAAAGTATAGCGTCGGTGAAATTAATGTTCATACTTGTTTTCTTAATGGAAAGAAAATAAGTTCATATTCATTTTTAAACAACCCAACACTAATGTTTTAAGAGAAATCAATATTTGGTGGAATATCCCTGATTTTCAATCAAAACTTTCATGCATCTGAAATGTTGAGAAATGTTGTCAGTAGTTTGTAGAATAAAACAAAAATGTTAATTTTACCCAAACACATATATCTATAAATGATCAAACCAGAGAAACTGATCATTTTGCAACTTAATTTTTTCAGGGCTGTATATACACACACACATATGATATAATTACAAACTTTAATGTTAGATGCGATTAATCAATTTGACAGCACTAGTTTTTAGCATCTCCATCACAAGCAGTTATTAATAATGAGCTCCTGTGGTCACATGACAAAAGAAATAATACTTTACACCAAAAATCTAAATAAACACTACAATCGCGATGTTTGATTATAAATGTAAGAAAGCGAGCAGTTTTGTGAGCGGGATATGTGCTAGAACACATCATTAGACCAACATAAAGCAGGAGTGTGTGTGTGTGAGTGTGTTACCGCAGAGGCAGGTGTGTGTTCGTGGCTGGGGTTTGGTCTGTTGTGTTTCCAGGATCTGTTGCACCATCTGCTCCACAGAGAGATCCACGGCGCCGTTGCCTCCACAAGACCATTTCAAACTGTGGACTAAACACACACACACACTTCTGTCAAAGTCACACTGACCATCATTCTGCCGGTACAGCAGTAATCACACGTGTCACGTGTGATTGGTCGATCACTCATTAATCAGGCGAGTGATTGGTCGATCACTTTATTAATCAGGCATGTGATTGGTCGATCACTCATTAATCAGGCGTGTGATTGGTCGATCGCTCATTAATCAGGCGTGTGATTGGTCGATCACTTTATTAATCAGGCATGTGATTGGTCGATCACTCATTAATCAGGCGTGTGATTGGTCGATCGCTCATTAATCAGGCATGTGATTGGTCGATCACTCATTAATCAGGCGTGTGATTGGTCGATCACTTTATTAATCAGGCATGTGATTGGTCGATCACTCATTAATCAGGCGTGTGATTGGTCGATCGCTCATTAATCAGGCGTGTGATTGGTCGATCACTTTATTAATCAGGCATGTGATTGGTCGATCGCTCATTAATCAGGCGTGTGATTGGTCGATCACTTTATTAATCAGGCATGTGATTGGTCGATCACTCATTAATCAGGCGTGTGATTGGTCGATCGCTCATTACTCAGGCGTGTGATTGGTCGATCACTCATTAATCAGGCGTGTGATTGGTCGATCGCTCATTACTCAGGCGTGTGATTGGTCGATCACTCATTAATCAGGCGTGTGATTGGTCGATCGCTCATTACTCAGGCGTGTGATTGGTCGATCGCTCATTACTCAGGCGTGTGATTGGTCGATCACTCATTAATCAGGCGTGTGATTGGTCGATCGCTCATTACTCAGGCGTGTGATTGGTCGATCGCTCATTACTCAGGCGTGTGATTGGTCGATCACTCATTAATCAGGCGTGTGATTGGTCGATCGCTCATTACTCAGGCGTGTGATTGGTCGATCACTCATTAATCAGGCGTGTGATTGGTCGATCACTCATTAATCAGGCGTGTGATTGGTCGATCGCTCATTACTCAGGCGTGTGATTGGTCGATCACTCATTAATCAGGCATGTGATTGGTCGATCACTCATTAATCAGGCGTGTGATTGGTCGATCGCTCATTACTCAGGCGTGTGATTGGTCGATCACTCATTAATCAGGCGTGTGATTGGTTGATCGCTCATTACTCAGGCGTGTGATTGGTCGATCGCTCATTACTCAGGCGTGTGATTGGTCGATCACTCATTAATCAGGCGTGTGATTGGTCGATCGCTCATTACTCAGGCGTGTGATTGGTCTATCACTTATTAATCAGGCATGTGATTGGTCGATCACTCATTAATCAGGCGTGTGATTGGTCGATCGCTCATTAATCAGGCGTGTGATTGGTCGATCACTCATTAATCAGGCGTGTGATTGGTCGATCGCTCATTACTCAGGCGTGTGATTGGTCGATTGCTCATTAATCAGGCGTGTGATTGGTCGATCGCTCATTAATCAGGCGTGTGATTGGTCACTCACACATGGGTTTGAGTTGCGACAGCAGTTCGTCTCGGCTCCAGCGCAGACTGTCCCGCCGGTCGGTCAGAGCACAAGACACCGGACCACACGACTTCACACTGTCCTCCAGCGACGGCACGTTCAGGTAGTGCACTAGCACGATGTCTGGGTTCTGCAAACACACACACACACAGTTCAGAATACTCTACCAGTATCCTCCCTGTTTACTTGTCATTTTATTCTTTTTATGTCATGGTATTGTTTTGTGTCTTATTATGTAATCTGTATAAAATGTGTATAATGATTTACTAAAAAATATTATTACAACAATTCCTTCTTTTACATGCATTGACCCTGGCTCCTGATTGGCCGGACGTGTCACTAACCTGCAGCAGCCAATAGCATCTCCTGTGGAATGTTGGGACGATGGAGGAATGAACATAACAACCGTAAAGACACTGCGGCAGAGACAGAGATGTGTGTGTGAGCTGCCGTGTCATCACATAACACAAATCACTTCCACAATATTACTGCATCTCAAATCTCAAATACACACTGCCGAACTAAAGTTTGTGCTTTTAAAAGAAGTCTCTTCTGCTCGCCAAGACTGCAGTTATTTGATAAAAAAAAAAATATTGTGAAATATTATTACAATTTTAAATAACAATTATAATGTAAAGGATTAAAGAATCCTGAAATAAAAATGTAAATAACAGTTTTCAACACTGATAATAATCATAAATGTTTCTTGATCATCAGATCCTCATATTAGAGTGATTTCTGAAGGACTGAAGACTGGAGTAATGATGCTAAAAATACAGGAATAAATAACACTTTAAACTATATTATAATCATTATTTAAAATTGTAATAATATTTCACAATATTACAGTTTTTTGTGTGTTTTAATCAAACAAATGCAGCCTTGATGAGCAGAAGAGACTTTTAAAAAACATTAAAAATCCTCCCGATCTGAAACGTGTGAGTACACACACACACACACACGCGTGCTGTGAGCTCTAGGTGGCGCTCTCACCTCCATGCCCTGAACCTTCAGCTTCATGTGATCCTCTCTCGTAGTCTTCCCGTCTTTCCTCTTCTTCCAGCAATATCCATCTTTACGGTATTTAACCTTCTTACGATTATACAGGATTATTGAACCGTTCTGTGGCCTGAACACACACACACACAACATCTATTTCAGTCAGAAACACGATGGAAACGAGGATATATTTATTTATATATTCACTAGAGTAATACAGGCAACTAATGTACGTTTGATCACTCACACATAGCCAACTATTTCCTTATGAAGAGGATTATCAATATTTAATATGTGTTATTGCTATAACTGTCACCCATGTCAGGTGTGTATGTAGACATAGTCTCAGTCTGCCGTTTATAACTACAGCTGTTGACATGTTCTTGTGGTTGTTTAACTGATTTCACAGCGCAAAACATCACATGCTCAACCATCAGTCTAAAGATTTACTTTTCTTACACTGCAAAAGAGAAATTAAGGTTTTTGAGGAAACCTTCATTTCTTTTCCACTGAAGAAAGAAAGACATGAACATTTTGGATGTCGTGGAGGAGAGTAAATCATCAGGGCATTTTTATTTGAAAGAGAACTAAAGTAAAAACATAGTTTTTTGCAGTGATAGTGAACAATTCAGGCTCCCAAAAATTATATATAAACTTGGATTTATATTTATCGGCCAATATATCGGTTATCGGCTTTCAAATATGAAGAATTATCGGTTATTGTATCGGCCAATACAACACTTATCGACTTAAATACAAAAACTTATCGGTAATCGATATTAAAGAATTATCGGTTATCGATATCGGCCAATATATCAATTATCGGCTTTGAAATATAAAGAATTATCGGTTATCGATATCGGCCAATATATCAATTATCGGCTTTGAAATATAAAGAATTATCAGTTATCGATATCGGCCAAAATATCTATTATCGGCTTTCAAATATAAAGAATTATCGGTTATCGATATCGGCCAATATATCTATTATCGGCTTTCAAATATAAAGAATTATCGGTTATCGATATCGGCCAATATATCAATTATCGGCTTTGAAATATAAAGAATTATCAGTTATCGATATCGGCCAAAATATCTATTATCGGCTTTCAAATATAAAGAATTATCGGTTATCGATATCGGCCAATATATCTATTATCGGCTTTGAAATATAAAGAATTATCGGTTATCGATATCGGCCAAAATATCTATTATCGGCTTTCAAATATAAAGAATTATCGGCTATCGTATCGGCCAAAATATCGGTTATCAACTTTCAAATATAAAGAATTATCGGCTATCGTATCGGCCAAAATATCGGTTATCGGCTTACAAATATAAAGAATTATCGGTTATCAACATCGGCCAATATATCGGTTATCGGCTTTCAAATATAAAGAATTATCGGCTATCGTATCGGCCAAAATATCGGTTATCAACTTTCAAATATAAAGAATTATCGCTATTGTATCGGCCAAAATATCGGTTATCAACTTTCAAATATAAAGAATTATCGGCTATCGTATCGGCCAAAACATTGGTTATCAACTTTCAAATATAAAGAATTATCGGCTATTGTATCGGCCAAAATATCGGTTATCGGCTTTCAAATATAAAGAATTATCGGTTATCAACATCGGCCAATATATCGGTTATCGGCTTGAAAGTGAACTAAAGTGAACTTATTTGAAAGCAAAAACATAAGTTTTTTGCAGTGATAGTGAACAATCCTTGAGTGTCCGTTATTACACAGAAGAAAAGTGTCACTACGTGATGCTCACCCACACATTCCCACAATCCCACAGAGACACTGACCTGGTCTTAAGGCTGCAGGAAAGCCACTCGTCATGTCTGTCAAAGGAAATCAGGAAGGACGCAATTTCCTGAAACACAAACACACACACAACAAACTTGCATTATAATGTATTTTTTTCCTTAAAAAATGCTATTGAAAAACTTACTGACTTTGCACATGTAGGCTATAATTTTTTTTTTTAATTTCAAAATGTATCAATTGTGTACTTTTCTCACATGCATGTCAAAAATGATCTCTCATCATGCTATGTTATCACCAGACACTGGACTCAATGAGTTTTCTTCAGTTAGCACAGGTTGTGTGTGTCTTCTGGACTGAACGATCGTAGCGTCGGTGATCTGAGCTGAGGCACATCAGGTTCTGTTAGATGAGGAGCATCAGCTCAGATCAATGACACTGCGATCAATCAGTCCAAAAGACACACACAACCTGTGCTAACTGAAGAAAACACATTTACAAGTCCAGTATCTGGTGATAATATAGCATGATCAGAGATTTATAAGCAGTTTAAATAGACGGGTAATTTTTGACCCAGAACACCAAACTACGTAAAGCACAAAGTGTGAGTGTTGGAGAAAAAACAGTTGTGATCAGGGTTATTATTATTAACTAAACCTGAAACCATTTTTAACAAAAATCGGAACTTGAAATTAAATAAATGTAAACTGCAAGACATTAAAAATAATTATAATAAAAAATGCCAAACACTTTAACTAAAATTAAAGCTAGGGATGCATGATATTTCTGCCACTATATCTGTATCGGCGGATATGTTCATTTTTAATGTTACCGTTATTGGTCCAATGATAAAATTTGGACGATATTTTAAAGCCAATAAACAATGTATTATTTCCTTCAGCTGACACACTTCAGATCCACACACGATGGGTAATGGATATGAAATATGATTCAATTTTTTTTTGGTAAGGAAAGTTGGCAAACGGATTGTAAAATTAATTCACTGGTTCAAACTAGGAACTAGTGTCTTTTTTGTGTGTTTGGGCGTGTTTTTTAATGGTGAGACTTTGGTTTTTGTAATCAGGCTCCCAAAAATTATATATAAACTTGGATTCAGATTTATCGGCCAATGTATCGGTTATCGGGCTTTCAAATTATCGGTTATCGTATCGGCCAATTTATCAGTTATTGGTTTTCAAATATAAAGAATTATCGGTTATCGATATCAGCCAATACAACACTTATCGACTTAAATACAAAAACTTATCGGTAATCGATATTAAAGAATTATCGGTTATCGATATCGGTTAATATATCAATTATTGGCTTTCAAATATAAAGAATTATCGGTTATCGATGTAGGCCAATATATCTATTATCGGCTTTCAAATATAAAGAATTATCGGTTATCAATATAGGCCAATATATCTATTATCGGCTTTCAAATATAAAGAATTATCGGTTATCGATATCAGCCAAAATATCGGTTATCGGCTTTCATATATAAAGAATTATCGGTTATCGATATCGGTTAATATATCAATTATTGGCTTTCAAATATAAAGAATTATCGGTTATCGATATAGGCCAATATATCTATTATCGGCTTTCAAATATAAAGAATTATCGGTTATCGATATAGGCCAATATATCGGTTATTGGCTTTCAAATATAAAGAATTATTGGTTATCAACATCGGCCAAAAATATCGGTTAACGGCTTTCAAATATAAAGAATTATCGGTTATCGATATCGGCCAAAATCTTCATATCGATGCATCACTAATTAAGGGGAAAACAGAAAATATAGAAATAAAAACAATAGGCCCTAATAGTAGCACACACACCTCGTTTGTGTTCCAGCGCAGTCTCTCTTTGGGTAAAGTCGTCGTGCGAGGCAAACACTCCAACAGCTTATTGGGCAAAAACACTTTCATCTGACCGCTGGTCTCTGTATCACGCAAAACACTGTTCAGCATCACTAATTATTACTGCTTTCAATATGTTTCTGCTTGATTCTGGGAACCATTCGGCCCTGTCTATTAAACCTCTGACAAGTCCGATCACAGGAACATTCAGATCTGCATTCTGAGCCAGGGAGAGCCGTTGAAACAGCTTCAAAAAGACTTTAAGCACACAGTATCAATATTTCTGCCTTACAATAATTCAGATTATCACAAAAGTACTAAGATAAAAGTTTATAGCTTGGATATAAACGCTGATGTCTACAGTAGCGATCAATGTAGAGTAAATCACCTTTTAATAGAAACTTGATGCTTCAAATAATGATTGTGTCATTGCATCGTTACACCAGTAGGTGGAGACAAGTGACTGTTGAACATGTGTTTGTCATTGAATCATTCACTCAGTAGATTTGTTTAAAAACACTGATCATCCAGTTATGAAAGTCTAATGAGTGAGTAAAAAATGTTATTACAAATTTTTTACATTTTGTCAGAACATCTAGTAAATGACGTTTTTTGTTTAGTTCAAAATCTCTATTTTATTTTAAAACCCACTTGATTCTCAGTTTCTCCAGAATCGTGCAGCTCTAGTGGACTTGCATGAATATTTTAAAGGTGTGTGTGAGCCTGACCTGACTCTGTCGTGGCGTCCTTGTTGTTCATGGTGAAGTTCATTAACCCCTTCAGCCTGCAGAGGGCAGTCACACGATCCAGGGAGGACAAAACTGCAACACTGCCTCACACACACACACACACACACAGAAAACATGCACATACTGTAAGAGGCTGTAATACAAGCTTCATTTTTACACAGCTTACTAAACGCATGCCTTTGTTTGTATTAGGGATGCACAATATATCGTCACTATATCAGCATAATTATATAGTGACAAAAATTATATCAAAATTTGGATTTAGATTTATCTGCCAATATATTGGTTATCGGCTTTATATCGGGTGCATATATAGTGGGGATTATTTTTTTTTATAATTCCTTATGCTTTACTATGTATATCTGTCTGTCCGTCTCTATCTATCTATCTATCCATCCATCCACGTATCTATCTATCTATCTATCTATTTGTCGGTCTATCTACCTATTCATCTATCCATTTATCATCACCACAGTTTTATAAGCTATACATGATAAAAATAGAATTAAAATAAATAACAAAACTAGAATGCTAATGAATTTATATAGAAAGTCTCTCTCTCTCTCTCTCTCTCTCCGGATCTGCCGTCTGTGTTGCCTAGTAACCACAGCAGTGGGTGATCAAATATACTCTCACAGTTTTTACACACACACACACACTTCTTTTATATAATACTGATGTGTTTGCTCCCTGTGAGTTCAGTACTGCTGGTTTAATGGGTTGAGGTGCGAGCGGTTCTGATCCAAACACTCACACGTCTGTTCGTTTCAATGAAACCAGCCAACCCTCCATCATACACACAGAAACCTTCCTGTATAACGTGTCCTGACGATATCTGAACGCTTCCCATTATGATGACAAAAGATGATCTGATTAAATACATAAAACATTAAATTTACAAGCCGGAGCGAGTCGACAAACATTCACACCAACAAATCCAGAACTAATGATTAAAGTCTTAATAAAGCATCATAACATATTTTATTTTACACTTTTTTTTAATGTGCCACAAAAAAATTGTGTAATATCTGTGCACTAGAGTCAACACAAGTTGCACACGTTACATAATGTTTTCATAGAGGTTAACGCTTTCCTTGATCAACATTGCTGCGTTTCCTAAAAGCCTGGCAATCTTAAGTCAATTATTTCTCTACGATCCGCTTCTGCTGACAAAAGGAGAATTAAAATAAGCTTATAATGAATAACACACACATATACCTAGTTATTCCAAGCTCTGGAATTTTATATCAGGTCGAAATTGTGAGTAAAATTATTTGTAATAATGTGAACATTTTGCCCAATACCGATAACCTATTATATTTGAAAGCCGATAACCGATATATCGCCTGATAAATCTTAATCCAAATTTATCGTGCATCCCAGTAAATCTGGTAAATCAGGAACGACCAGGAAAGTCATGGATATTCATTAGATAAAAGGAGCAGGATCCCTGAAGTACATTCATAAAACATGCGGGATGCTGAAATTGTATTATATTAATATTAATACTGAAACAAAATGTACACTTCTAAATTCTGTAAATAAATATAAAAAAAAGCTCAGAATAGGTGGGATTCACATGTAAACCAATATACAATAGAATATAGTGCAAAAGTTTATTTATTCAACTTAAAAGGTGAAACTAATATATTATATAGACTCATTACATGCAAAGTGAGATATTTCAAGCCTTTATTTGTTACAATTTTGATGAATATGGCTTGCAGCTTATGAAAACCCCAAATTAAAAATTTGAATATTGTGAAAAGGTTTTCATATCTGTAAGCAATAATCATCAACATTATAACAAATAAAGGCTTGAAATATCTCACTTTGCATGTAATGAATCTATATAATATATTAGTTTCACTTTCACCTTTTAAGTTGAATTACTTGAAATAAATGAACTTTTGCACGATACTCTGATTTTTTGAGTTTCACCTATGTTCTAGAAACAGAAATTACATCAGTGCATGTAAAAATTGGCGTAAAAGTGGTGTGATGTAGCTGGCTCACATTATGGGATATAAATAATCCATACACCTTTATTTACACAACAAATATTTTATCATGTTCCATCCCAGGCACCTTTTTCCAACAAATGTAGCTCAATCAATCAGATTATACCGGAATATCAGTTTCACAAATCAGCCTACAGGATTCCTCACACATCAACAACTACACACATTCTCCTCCAATCAGCACTCTAGATTTAGCATAGCCCCGCCTCCAATTGATTAACACACGAAAAACAGTCACTTGGTCAACGAACAAGACCTAATATTTATTAAAAACGATTTAAAGGTTCCTTTTAATATAATGTAATGTTGATGCTGATATGCAGACAGCAGAGTATATGATGTAATCCGTGTGTAATCCAAAATATATAATATGAATGTGTATTAATGTCAGTAAATTTTAGATGATGAAAAATGTTAAGTAGCCGAATTACAGTTGTTTATTAATGCCCATAATTTAAAAATAAAACGATGTTGAGAAAATACCAGGCTACTATCGTATCAGACCACACTCCTGAATTATTACCATATTCACCATAGCCATATATTAAAATAATAATACAGGGAATATCATGACCGTGTACAAAAATATGATAATACTTTTTGTAAAAGCCATAAACACCGCGTTTCCTGCACACACACCCATTATGACCCAATCACACACAATATATGTAGACAGGCCTGTCGACGCAGACCGGACCGAACGAAACCATCTGAATGAGTTTAATTCTATTATTCATAAACATAAATACATATGACAAGGCCCCGGACTGACACATACACACACTGATTGACGGGATAAACACACACACACACACGATACACTAATGCAGGAGTAACAGAAACACACACGCGCACCGGGACCGAACCGAGCCGTGCGCACGGGTTCTGATTAACGGCAGCTCGCGCGCTGACAGTAACGGGTCACCATAACAGAAACGGGTCCGCAACTTACCTTCCGCCTTCACGAGCGCCGCCATCTTCTTCTTCACACCACTGACGTCACCGATGGGGGGGAGGGAAGAGGGGAGCGAGTGGGAGAGAGTGAGACAGAGAGAGTGAGAGAGAGAGAAGGAGAGCGAGGGAGTGGGAGAGAGAGGGAGAGATAAAGATATAGAGAGAGAGTAAATTATCTTAAAACAATTACCAAACATACTCCATACTCAAGATATTTAGCAAAAAATTATTCACCCACTGTAACAAATCACAAGATTTCTGTATTCCATACATTTTACATTCCTTTATATACTTCATAGTTTATACAATTAAAAATCTAATTTAATTCCCACTTTTATTAAACTTTAAGAACTAGTACTACATCCCGACTAACTTCACCTTCTGTTCCCTTGTCGGATAAAGAGCCATTTTCGCTTTTCCAATAATAGGCTAAAGTGCTTTTTTCAATTTTTTTTTCCCCCAAAAAATGAAACCAACCTTTGAAAATATTCCTTTAAAATCTACAAACATTAAATTAGGCGTCAAACATAAGCCTTTAAGCCTGTCGATGTACAAAACTGTGAAAATAGCTTCCCTCTGAATCACAAAATAGACATTTATCAATGTCTGAATTAGTGTATGCTAACAAACGCATTTGCATTTACACTGTTCATTTAATTTAAGTTATGTTATAATATATTTTTTATGACTTTATTATTATTATACGTATTCTAAGCTTTGGCAATATTGTATTATTTACAGTCATACCAACACAGCAATTCTGAATTTGAGAGAGAGAGGGCGTGAGTGAAATAGAGCGAGATAGAGAGAGCGAGTGGGAGAGAGAGAGCGAGAAAGATAGAGAGAGTGAGAGAGAGCGAGTGGGATAGAGAGAGGGAGATAGAGAGAGCGAGTGAGAGTGAAGCATCAATTTGCTCACACACACCACTGAAAGCACATATATTGTATTTTACTAAATTATTTATTCATTTATTTATTCCTCTGTTTTTCCACACCTGTCTAATACAGATTTTGGTCTAATTATTTTTTTTTATTATTATTCTCATGCTCATTTAAATGCTTTGGCAATACAATGTAGGGGAGACCAGGGACAGTTGTAACACTTTTTGCAATTTTTAGCAATACATCAAAAACCATTTATACTGGAATATCCAATTTGTTATATTATAAACTTCAATCAGTCTACTGCTGAAACAATGTATTAAAGTGGTTTTATGAAATATGTATAGGTTGCAAAATTAATTTCAATATAGTATCTCCACTGTTACAACCGTCCCAGTGTACAGGGACGGTTGTAACATATGTCAGGGACGGTTGTAACATGTCTAAAATATAGGCTACATAATGAATTAAATGATATAACCTACTCAAAATGGAAAATATTATGTATCAGTCATGTTATTGTGACTATTAATTTATCCAGTATCCAACTCTGGGAAGTGTCTTTGATCCCTGACTCCTCTTCTTGTGGAATCGGTGCAGGGTCACATGGCAAATGCCATATGATGACATTTTACATTTAATTTGCTATGCACAATGCACATTTTACTTTTAATTTGCACATTAAATGGAAACTATGCAGTTTTTTTTTAAACTTAATTAGTTTTTAAAATATAAACGAAAACTTGGTTGGTGATACAGGGACAGTTGTAACGGGGCGTTACAACCGTCCCAGTATCACCAACCATGTTTTCATCTCATGTGAGCTAGCTTGACTGCTAGTTTGACACTTGTTAGCCATTTCTATTTTTAGCTGAAAAAACAGTGATTCTAATAATACTTGTTTGAATTAATACAATTTTTATTTTATAACAGCATCCAAAAAAGTACATCAGAAAGAAAAGTAATTTTTTTACCTCAAAAACAACCTTTTATTGATAACTCTGCCAGAAAGTTTCAACTGTAGCTCCCTTTTGGAAAAAAATGGTGGGAAACTACCTGAGCATGAGCAGAGTGAGTCTCATCACTCTAGGTTGTTTCTGATTGGAGGAATTCAAAGTGTTACAACCGTCCCTTGTTACAACTGTCCCTGGTCTCCCCTACAATATGTCATGACAATTAAACTCATTGAGAGAGAGAGAGAGCATATATCAATTTTGTGAGTTACAAGGTCAGAACATTAAAAAAAAAAGACAAACCAATTAGTCAGAATCATACTTTTGGAAATATACTTTACTTCATAGAAAACCACAGTATTTAAAAAAACAAACAAACAAGTAAAACACAGTGCCGATAGAGAAAATATCTTTTATTTGTATAAAATCATTATTCCAGAGCATCAGTTTCCTGTGAGAGGTGCAGATTCATATGGCTACTGATGTCTGAACACACACATTTCTCTGAGTTCATACAAAATCTCATAAATAGCTGTTTCCTTACACCTATTGTTATGCACATTTTGGGATATCGCATTTTAAAAAAAATTGTAATGCTGGATGGAAATGCCGAAACGCGAAACATAAATTCCAAAAATGCGCATCAAAAGAGAAAAGCATGCTCTCAATTGAGGTGTATGAATGTTGTATCCGATAATATATAACTATAAATAAAACTCCAATAAGCATAAACTATGATGGAAACACATTCACTGAATAAATCCCCCGAGCACTGGATAACCAGACGAACCAGCGGACCAATCGCGTCACAGCATTTTTTGCGTTTCGAACAAATAGCCGGATTACAGAATTTTTTTTATTACTGATATTTTGCTGCAATTTCCCCGTACGTGACGCTTTTGTTCTCTCGAACACATTAGAAGGAAACGCTGCTTTATTTGCGAATGTTTTATGCGACTTTCCAATTTAGCGCACAAGATAAATTCGCCACTTTGGATGGAAACACAGCGGTTGTTTACTTCAGAACGACACGAAACTTAACAAGTAAAAACTAAAATCAGAGCATCCTGAGGAGCAGTCAAAAAATCCTCACACACACACACACACACACACACACGCAGAGCTGAAATCAGCTGTAAACAAAAACAAACAGATTAATCGAAGAAGAAAGCGTCTCCATGGAAGATCAGCGCGAGCGGCTCACATTCCCTGCCGGATGCTCTGGATGATCTGGAAGATGGCTAAAAAGTGAAAGAGAAATATCATATAAAAGATAATATTAATACATATTAAAGCCTTTTCGCACACAATCTGCAAGACACGTGACGCAAAAGATCATATTGTATTAGTTGCATGATTAAAGCATATATTGCATATTTTGACCCTCTGTTCTGACATTCCATCCTACCCGTCAGATTGTCCTACCAAGGCTTACTGCGCATGCGCACATCAATAATACGTCATTTTTTGTCACGCTGAACAACACGCCCATAATATTTTACTACTTGCGCGAGATCTTCTTCATCTGAGGGAAGTTTTTCACTATACAAAGATATATAGCAGTAATGAGAACTGTTTACTCTCACATTCATACAAAGCAAATTCATATTAGCATTTTTTTCATGAAAACATTAACGTAAAATCATTCTACTCGTTTATTTCATACTGGTAGGACAATCTGATGAGGCATTTTGCACTGTAAAATCATACTACTCGTTTATTTCATACTGGTAGCACAATCTGATGAGGTATTTTGCAACGTAAAATCATCCTATCGTTTATTTCATAGGACAATCTGAAGAGGTAACGTTACTTTGCACTGTAAAATCACCGTAACATGGCCTAATAAGAAAATTCGGCAAAGTTACACAGAAATATTTTATGTAACTTAGTCACAGACGCGAAGCAGAAACGCTCAGTAGGATTTTACGACGAGGTAGGATGAACCGATAGATATGGCTATAATTTTGCGCTACGGTAGGAAAATCTGACAAGGTAGGACAGATCGACAGAACACCCTCGTTATTATAGAGTCCAAATGTTTTGTTTTTGCAGTGAAAATTGCAGTGACTCTTGAATACTGGACACACATATTGGTGTATAATAATGAAAATGACTGGTCACTGAAACAACTGTATTATTGATGATTCCTAGCTGTTGAAAGCCATAGGATTTACATAAAAGATCTGTGAGACAACAGTCTCGTTATTCACCGCATGTAAATCTCCGGAACGGTCGCACACAGATCCGACTCGATGTAAATAAACATCATGGCTTTATTCACGCAGGTGAAAAGTTTGGTCTGAACATCAGCGAGATCTGAGATAAAGCATCTCTACTGGATCATATTCAAAGTCAAACAAACCAATATAGTGTTTCCCACAACAGCAGACTCTGTGTTCTGACGTTCACAAAGGAGTATTAATATAATAATTTCATGAAGTATTCTTATTGTATGTTGTCTTTTATTATTAGATGAAACTAGAGCCCGACTGATATGGATTTTTGGGGGCTGATGCCGATACCGATAAACAAAGCCAGATACCGATATATCGGCCGATATTATTTATGTGTATATTACAATACAGTAGCAATTTTATGTATGTGTATAAACGTACAGTACCAGTCAAAAGTTTGGACACACTTTCCTATTGATGGGTACTGTTAGAACGAATTATAATTCGAATATTAAAAAAAATCAATACTATTCGAATGCTGATTTATGTATATTTTTAAAATTTTCTTTTATATGCAATCTTGCCTTTTCGCCGCCTTGGCTCACACGCATGCGAAAATGAAATGCCTTTGTTTCGTCTGATGAACAATTTTTTTAATCGTAACACAAGTGTGCACGTTACCCACGGTGTCAAAAAAGGTAGCCTAAATGTTTGACGACGGAAAAAGCGCCACCCAAATATCTCAACGGATTCGTCGAACTGAAAAGAACGATATAAGTTTCACAATTTTTGGTGGTGTTTTCGCGGAGATATCAGACGAAAACCATCGGAACGAATAAAATGTGTATTAGATGTCCCTCTAGTGGACCGAACGTGTAACAACAAACAAATGCCATAGTGGCATTGGCGATCCATAAGCATGTGTAATGTCGTAAATATTAATAATAGGCTCAATTTTAGCATTTAATATTCTACTATTATTTGAATATTAAATAAAATAAGGAATGGAATTCGAATAGTATTATATACCCCATTTCCACCAAAAAAGAACTGGTTCGGAATTGGTGCTGGTTCGGAGTTTGTTCCGAACCTGTTTGTTTTTCCACTGACTAGAGCGCCCAGGGAACGGCGTCGTTACGTCACTGTGTACGTCGCCATACGTCTTAGCTAGAAACGCTTAGCTCGTGTACCAAGAAGGCTTTAAAAACAATTGAAATATGTAAGCGTCTTTTAATCTTTTCTTTTGATATATAATCTTTTCTGATTAGTTAGGTACCCCTGTCTTGTGTCTTTTTTTCTATATTGTGACTGTCTTCTTAATGTTTTCAGACATAATTATAGACAGCGACAGACACAACTATAGACGCAGCGATAAAACAATAGATACAATGATAGATACAGCTATAGATGTGTTAGATGCGATGATACAGTGAGTGATAGAATCAATGATAGAACGATATATTGAAATAAACTGCTAGAATTTTTGTATTGTTTTTCCCATGTAAACATGCATTAGATGGATGTTTTTGAGCACAGCACCACAAGCGAAGCATTTCTCAACCAACACTGATATGTGATTAACGATTATGAACGAGCACATCACGTAACTGATGTAATAAAGGTTGAGCCGTTTTCTCATCTCACCTGAGCCACAGACCACAAACACAAAGAGTGCGAGGAGCCACGGACCCACCGGAGACTTCTCCTCATTCACCACACGCTGCAGGACAAACACACATTCCCTTACTCACAGCTACTGCTCAAACATCCAATCACAGCACAGGTTTCAGAGTATGGGGTTCCATTCGTGGCAAAAAGGAGTCGACTGCTTTGTAATACATTCGTCCATGTCGACAGTGCAAACTTGATTTCAGAATCACCAAACCAACATTTGACATGCTGCGATGCGATTGGTCCGCTGGTTAGTCCAGGTAACCAATCACAGCCTCTGTTGAGGCAAAGTCAAATGAGTTTTGCGCATTAAGAGATTTGTTTGGTAAATGCAGTTTAATTCTTCTTTTTGGATAGTTTTTTATACAAGAACCCAAAATTTGCATAATAATAGGTGAATAAAAAATAGCTTGTCTGCAGTTATTAAGGCTCAATAATGAAAAAAATCATTAATATGTTTATTTTGGTCAATATAGCAATCACAATTAACACAATCAAGATTTGTCTTTAGACATGGAAATCGATTTTACAATCGATTCAATGAAACACTCATGTCTCAGAAATCAAATAGCCCTATAAATTACGATACCCAAACACTCACATACTATTACAATAATAATGAACGTAACCACCTGACTACTGCAGATTTATTCTGGTTTTGATCGTGTTGCCACTGCCAGAGAAACAAGTTCAATGAATGGACAAACATTTTGGTTCTGAGACTTCCACAAAAGGTATATGTACATTTTTAATATTTAGACCACTTCTGTTATGGATTGCCGTCAGGATGTGAAGAGTTTCAACCATTTGACAAAAATCGAAATGTTCTATTTATTAATAAACCTGCATGGATTAATAGCAGAACAATAGCATACTGTATGAGGCATAAGACTAATCTGAACGAACGACACAATAAACAACAGCAGTAACAGTATAAATAAGGCAAATTTATTGCACGAAGCAGTCAACACTTTTTGACACAAACAGCACTCCATACTTTTGATATATAAATATTTCAGACATTATGGTACTAATGGCAAAAGACATTGTAGCTTTTGTTAGTGGTGAATGTGTAAGTGTTCATCTATTTTTGCTGATGTTGTGAGTGTAAATATGCGTAGTGTGTAAACTGTGATTTCATTTACGTGTTCGCGTGTGGTATGTCTCTGTGCGCCGCGGGAGCGCGCGTACCGTGGTTTTCTGCACGTGTCCTCTCTGTGTGATCGTCTTGCTGTGTTTCTCGTTTGCTACTTTCATCCGCTGCACCGCCGACATGATGCTGCCGCTGCTGAACGCGTCGCGGGAGGCGGAAGATCGCGCTGGGCCGGTAAGCGGAGCGTGTTTGTGTGCGGTGATTCGGTTCTGTTCCAGTCGCTCGAGCTACAAAGCAGCGGTATCACGTGACCCTGGCGCAGGCCCCGCCTCCTCCTTACGTCACTCCACTGAACCGTTATTTTAAAGATATTTGAAACCTAGCTAATGTAATGTGAATATGTAATACCTCTTGTTGTCATGGATGGCATTGAATAAAATAAAATATTAAATAAAAAATTGAAAACTACAACAATTGAAGTACTTTCATACGTAATCTTTTCTTATTTATATACCTCTGTCTTGTATCTTTTTTTTCTTTCCTCGTTTATTTGTTCTACAATGTGCTTCCTTTTTATATAATATATATATTTTTTTAAATATATATTTGAAACCTAAACCTTTGAAATGTATAATGGTTTCCCCTCTGTTTTAGATTTAGATTTTTAGGTTGTTTCAATGTATAATGCAAAGTGTTTAAGTACAATTTATTCTATGTTTTATAAATATTCACAGATCCCACAGTTACTTATTATGCATTTGATCATTTTCTGTTGGGAATCTGTGCAGTTTAATTCTTGAGTGACACACACACACACACACATCAGTCAGGTTTAAAATCAACAACACCTTTAATTTAGATGTTAAATAACATTTATGGACATCACACAAACAAGTTTTAACTTGTGTTAAATATTGAGAACAAGTTCCCACTCACAAAAATGTCTGAACAGAAGTTCTGTCAAGTCAAACATGGTCAACAACATAAACAAAACTGACTGGACAATCAGCCAGAGGTCTCACACACACTCTCTGTCTCTTTCTCTCACACACACTCTCTCAAACACACTCACACACTCAGCTGAGAAAACCTCAGCATCTTAAAACGACAAATATGTCAAGTTCTGCGTTCAGTTCAGTGTAAAAGGCCAGAGCTGTGAGTCGTGTTGTTGCAGACGGTCAAATTACAGCTGTTTGGACTGACTGTTATCCAGCAGATGCTAAAACAACATGAACGCTTTTGTGGAGGCAGCATCAGAACAGAAGGATTGTGTAATGTTCGCAGGTGAAGGTCTGTATGATCCTCGCGCTCACCTGCACACACACAAACACACACACGCAGAAAATTAGTCATAACAATAGCACACAATGATAAACAGGTTGTCATAATTGTTCACAAATCCTACTTTGTGTTTTTAGAGGGCTCATATTAGGGCTGCACGATTAATCGTAATTTACATGTAATCGCACTTTAACTGATTTGGCTGATCACGATTTTGAAATCGCAAAGGCTGTGATTATGTGCAGCTTGTCAGTGACGTACGGCTCCGTCTGACAGCACTGCGAGTTTGAGTCGCTTATAACGTTCATTTGAAAAGGCAACACCCGTCCGACATCTTTCCAAACACGAGAAGCATTGATGAACCTCTTGTCCAACAAAAGACAACGTTTAATAACATGATTTTACTCCAAAACCTAGTTTTTGTGTGTGAAACGCCCTCTGGTGTTCAGATGTGCAAGTGCTGTTCAAGACATATTTTCAAAAAATATGCCTATGTATAAACATTCACGAGTAATACCGGACTGGTTTAAACGTACAGTATGTAATTTTTGGCCACCAGGGGGCTCTGATGATTTGTTTCGAAACATTCCTAACACCCCTGACATTGTGTTCATGGATACAGATAAAAAGGAGGTGCTAGTCCTTGAAATAGGTTGTGTTTATGATTTGTATATGGACAAAGCCTTTTTAGAAAAAAATGACTAAATACCAACCCCTCCTTGCAAAGATTAGTGACCTAGGATATGCATGTAAGTTCGTGGCATTAGGGATAGCTGGCTATCCAAACAGCTGGCAAAATTCTGCGGTGTGGCGTAAGCGATGCTTTATTTACCTTGAATCTCTGAGAAATATTTGAACCCTTTCTGTAAGAAATTTGATTGGCGGATTCAAATAAAGAAATCAAATGTGAGACGCCCTCTGGTGTTCAGATGGAGCAGCATTTACAACTGATCAGCCATGTTGCACTGACAAACTGCGCATAAAATAACCTCAACCTTTGCCAAATCACGTGTGGTTTCATTGCGATTAATTGTGCAGCCCTAAGCCATATCCAACATCTTTTATAATTTTATGAGTACCTGTGTGTGCGTCAGCATCCCAGACCGCTGATGACCCCGATCCGGTCCACCTTCATCCCGAAGCACCCCCGTGCCATTCCCTTCCGGATCCGGCCCTGCAGCCTCCGGGGCCGGTTCAGGGCGTTCAGGAACAGGTGTGACGGGGGGCGGGGCAAAAGCGTGGGGGCGGAGTCTGCTGACCCCTCCATGACCTCTGGATGAGCCAATAGAAGAGAGCCGATCTTCAGCCCAAACAAATCCTGCAGAACCTGCACACAGTTTATACTGTCAAATTTCTGTATGCTGGAATAACTTGACGATTCAAATAGTACAGCGCAATCCTACTCGAACTGTATCAATAACGAACGTTAACACGACAAAGATGTACTAAAGATGAAAACGATTTCTTTTGCGTTTTTCACAACAACGTTGTCAAAACGATCCCGTTCAACCGCATCCGCGAAAACGACTAAAAGCGCTGTATTCTGCTTCCAGGCCAGTAGATGGCAATGCCACTTTTTGTAAAAAGAAATATAAACTCTGCTCTTATAGACATGACATCACTGTTTTCTCAAATTCTTTTTTTGTAGTTTTAACAGGAGATGATAATGATTTAATTTTCAAAAAGTTTGTGTTTTCAGGCCCACAAAACACAGTTGTAGTGTAAACGAACGGCGAAAGTCTATAAAACGTTTTCAGTTATGTTGTGTAAACACCCCCTACTTAAATAATAACCCTGGATGTCTTACTAATGTGAAAAAGAAAGTAGAATATTGCATTTTGAATCTAAAATCTCATCTAAAAAAGATGAAAGTGTGTAATTTTAAGACCGAATCACCTAAATTGTCTATTTTCAAATAGACAGCAGCAATACTACATGTACTATTTATTTGGAGTACTATGCTAATGTGTGACTCGACTAAAAGAGAGAGAGATTAAAACAGTAGTAGTAGTATACTTTATTTAGTATACTTTAAACAGCCAATGATATTTTATATTTTTGATGACAACCAGACAAATTTTTCCATAAGGGATTTTAAAATTTCTGTTTGGAGTTTCTTTGTGCAATAAAACCGTTGCTGCTGAACTGCTACTTGCAGGTAATTCGTACATCTCTCTCTCTCTCTCTTTCTATTTATTAGGTATCGCGATAATAAATTCAGACAATTTTTAATATTATTCGTTCATTCAAATAAATGTAACGTACTCTTACGCACTTCTCCGATTCAAAGCGAGCAGAATGCTAGATAACGAACCGTGACTGAGGAAAATAACCGCAAATATGTTACACTTCCGGTCAAATATCGCGCTCCAAACGTCAATATTAGTTTTAAATTGTCAATGCGGCTTTAACCTAGCAAAAATGTTTTCTAAGAACACTTTTGCTAACGTTGCTATTAAAATATTGGTGTGTTAATATTGCCTCGATGAAGTGTTAAAACCACAGTGTTTAAGGTCACATTTCCTCCGTGCTCTTGCTTTTTGCTCGCAGGAAAGGCCTTCTTCTTCTGCAACTTTACTGTTGTGATAATATTATTTTAATGTTAACATTAAACAAATGTAATAAAATTGAATAAAATATCATGGGAACATTACTGTTGAATAAAAATCCTGAAACACGTTTCAGGAAAAAACATTCCATGATTGAACACTGGATAATTATGTTTTTGTGCTAATGTTTTGATAACATTATTTAAAACTTCACTGGTTAGTTCATTACTTTGAGATGCAATTCAAATGATATAATCAAATTGCATATAAAATTATTAATGTAAAGACGTTGATTATACATTATAGCCAATGTAGAAACAATTATGCAGACACATATTTGAGTAGTTTGAGAATGTGAATGTATTTTTTCCATCAGGAATTCCACTGTTAAATGAACATGATTATTTAAAAAAAAAAAAAATTAAAGTCCCTGTGGTGAAAATCCAGCGTTTAATGTTATTTATGTGTGTATGTGGTGTTTTTAATACACTTTAAGACAAACCAATTTGTAAGTTCATATGTGGACAGCATTGCTAAGTATTTCCTCCTTAAAACTGCAGTGAACCAAAGACAGTCTCAAAAACACGGTGTGAAATCGCTGACGTCACAAACGACCTTGTAACCAATCAGATCAACATGTGATCGTCAACCAGTGGATCTCGGAGTGAGTGAGTGAGTGAGTGGAGACAGGGCTCATTTGCATATTCATAGAACCGCGTATACTAAATGAGGCAAGGGTGTCGAGTTACATTCAAGATATTTAAAGGCATGAAGAAAAAAAGGTTAAATATGCAATTTTGGTGATCAAAGATGAGTTTTCAATGGATAAAATGATTGATTACAGAGGGACTTTAAATAATGTGATTAGATGACCTCAATTAAAGCAAATAACATTAATTAACAACCTCACGGTCTTTAACTGTTTATCAGTTTTCATTCAGAAGATGAAGATTTACTTCAGAACCGACTGTCGTGAATTACTAAATTATGAGGTCATGTGACAACAATCTAGTGCACGACTGTTTGAGCTGTTTATCCTCAATATTGCTACTATTTTTAAAAAGTAATAGGCATTATACAACATGTAATGATCCGAATCACACAAGCAATGTCTGTTATCAAACAGGTTTCCCAAACACCGATCGGTCATCATCCATCAGTCAAGCTAGTCCAGCCCCCAAACTCACGCGATTGGTCCTCACCTGTGCGTCTGATTGGCGTGGCGATGGCCGTCCCTCTATCTGCGTTGTCACGGTGATGATGAGAAACACGAGGAGAGCAGGATGAAGAGAGGAGGTAAAGTTTAGAGGAGATGAAAAAGCCATCCTTGTTTTTAAAGAGAAGTAAATATCTGTCCGGTGCTTTCTGCTCGGGTTCTGCCCTGTACGTCTTCAGGACGGGTCTCTGTCGGAACCGGTGCAACGCCCGGCCTTTTAAGAAACATCGCTGTGATGTCACACATCGCTAACGGTTGTCGCAGCGACGCCCCGCCCCTCACACACG